AAATAATAATTATTTAAATAAAAATATGTAATATTACTAAATTTTGCAATTCAATTTTTTTGATATTTTAAGAATTTTATTTAAACAGACATAAGTTAGTATTCACATGACTATTTCTAATTTAATTTTCAAATAGCTGAGATGACCAAAAATTAAATGTCAATTAAAATAAATGTAACTTGATTGAATTGAATTGAATTAGAAAATCAATTTACATCAATTGTATTAAGCTATATTAAGTACAAAAGTGTCGTAAATGTAAAGATTTTTTATATTATATTATTAAAAAACTACAAATATTTTATTTGATAATTTTAATAAAATAATTACAAGAAAGTATATATACTTTATATTATATCATAACATGTTTTTAAAATATTTATTTGTTTCGTGTAATACATATATTTTTTATTCTATGCCTTCAATAAGGAAATAAATTCAATGATTTCTTTTCTTTAATTCAATATAATAATTTACTAATTTAAAAATTAATAAAGATGTTAGTTACATTGAAAATAGGATAAATTTATAGTAATAATATTATTATAAAAAAACGTATTTGATCTCATTACAAAATACACTATTCTTCTTCATAAATAAAAATAATGCTCCATTTAAAATCAAACCTAATTTTCTTGATTTTTTTTTCACTAAGTTACTGAATTGAATATCTATTTGTAACTTAGGCGCTTTTAAGGGAAATTTTAGAAAGTGGTTTTTTTTTTTTTTTTTTTTTTTTTTTTTTCCATGGATTGCTTCATTCAAATGACTTTTATTTTTTTGAAGTGCAATGTCTTCCAATTGCTTAGTTGTGAGGAGATCATTATAATGTAAATAATATATTTTTTAAATTTGTATTAAGATAATGTTATAAAAATTTCAGATTATTTGTGAACAAGAGCAAGAATATTTAAGTCATTTTGAAATAACATTACAATTTAAATTAAAAAATAAAATAAATTCATACTCAATATTTATTCGGCAGTAAAATGTTAAATTTTAAATTTATGAATCTAAAAAACAACCTTGAATCATATAACCTTGACTATTCCATCTTTTCAAATCATGATTTTATAGTATTTTCCTTGGCCACAATAAAAAGTTGTGAAGCATAAATTCTCTTTTTTCTTTAACTATATATATATATATATATATATACACATACAATTATTCTAATAAAATTTAATAACTCTCTGTATAAAAAATGTGAAAACAAAATTACAGATTTATTCTAGTTCACTTTTTTGTTCTTTTAGATTTATATGGTCTTTACATCAAAGTTTTACAAATATTTAAAACTAAAAATATGCTATTATTCAATAGATGATTTCTAAGACTATCCTTCTCTTAAATTTTTTTTGCATTGATTTCAAAACAATGATTTTTTGAGATCTGAATGGTAATTTTTATCTGGTTAAAAAAAAATACATACTACTATATATTACCATATATACTTATTCATGCTATCAAAGTCTTGTATGATTTTTGCTATATAGTAATTGAAAATATGGTTTTTGGTAGTAATCTAAAATTAATTTAAATTTAAAATATTATATATATATATATATATATATATATATATATATATATGATTGTAAAAAACATGTTATTTGCAAATAAAAGTTCAAGATTAAATCCATAAGATATTAATCAGTGAATAACTTGGATGGCCTTAAAAAAAATTGGTTAAAGAATGTTTTTTTTAAATATTTAAGGCCATGAACGTGATTTTAAATATATTAGATATAATTTCTTTTAAATTTTATAAATTTTATTTCAATATAAATATTAGCAAAGTAAAAGTTAATTTTTTCTTCTAGTTGTAATTATAGTAAATTTATGGTCCAGTGTATATATAGAGGTCACTAGAAAATTAATAAATTTTATTATATAATATACTTTTTGATGCTCTTTGAATGCTTCAAAAAGTAGGCACAGAAATATTTTGTACTTTAAAGAGTCACTAGGTTTCGAAAAGAAAATCAAGTTTAATATTACTATTAAACATTGTGTCTTTGATAAAACTAAAAAGAATGTTAGAGCTCACTTTAATATTATATTTTTGTGAAAAATGATTTATTCTTCATGTGGTTACACTAATTAAAGAATTTAATACACTGTAATAAAATTTGAAATTTTGGTTACAGTCTACTTATTCAATTTAAGTGGTTTTAATATATCCAAATTGATTTGTAGAAGGAATATTTAAACCAGACTGTAGTTTAAGGAAAAAATACCTAATATATAAATATACATATATCAATACATATTTTACACTTTAAAAATAAATAGAAAATGAAGTGTTAAATTTCATTTTTCTAATCATAATTCGAAATTTTTTATATTTTTATTAAAAGTAATCCTGCACCAAATTTTGATATATCTTAAATAATCAAATAAACTAACGGTGTTGTTCAGACCACTTGCTTAACCTTTACCATAATGCCAAACTTCTCATTCATAAATTAGATAAAAGAAATCATGTGTAAATACATATGGTTTTATAATAAATTTATAATTTACATTGTGAATTTAAAAATATATTTTTTTTATTATAAATACTTTTTAACATTGTAGCTGTTAAAGATATTTCTTCACCTTCATGTTAATTTTCTATGAATGCCGGGACAATTCAATATAATGTGAAATTTAGCATCACAACATCACAAAATGCAACAAACATGTTCCAATTCACTTGAGAAACACAAAAACAGTGAAAAAAATCAGGTTAATATCAACAACAATAATGATCAAATCAAAAACTTTTGGAATACACCATGGTTTGGTTACAATGGCAACAACATCTCATCATTCATACTCACAATAACATATATTTATACAAAAACACACACACACACACACACAAAGAACAAAGCATAAGTAGGAATTCATCTGAGAAACTTGATTTTATACGTCATATATTCGCGCATTGGTAGCGGGCAAATTAGCGGTGTTGCAATGAGAATGCAGGAGAATCCACATTTAGAGGCACGGCTACATTTAGAGGTGCCGCCACAACTGCCACTGCAACTACCTTTAAAGGGACGTGAACGGGGGGGGGATTCTGAGGCGGCGTCGATACAATCACCGATTCCACTGATAACCACTACCCAACCGCACCTATGAATCTTCTTCTTCAACTGCCCCCAAGTACTAGGAGGCAGAATTTAGCACTTGGGGGGGGGGGGGGGGGAGGGGAGGAAATCTCTCATCGAACGAACGATCCGGCTGTTAATGAGTGTGGGAATCCAGATACGACGGACCAGACTCAGACCTGACAGACCTGGGCTGCTAAGGCCAGACTGACCCGATCGGACAGGCGCAGCAGGGAGTGTGCGCGCTGCCGCATCAGCAGGTGGGAGATGGAAGAGGTTGGGCGGCCGACGCTGACGAATCGGGACGGATCGTCACCGCCGCAGGGGGCTCGCCATTCACTCTCCAACGCCCCAAGCGGTTGGGGAGGAGCTGCTGCGAATTTGAGATTAGAAAAGCGCCGCCGATAGAACCCATGAATCGTCTGAATCCTGTGCAATTTGTAGATGGGTGCAGCCGAGATCGGCGACTCTGGACTCGCGCTTTATCACTATTCTCGCTCTCTCTTGTGCGTGGGTGCTGCACCTGTTGCGTTGTTTCGCGGTTCGTCACCCGAATGAATGATGAAAAGCTTCAGCATGGGTTTGTTCATCGTGATTTTGGGTGAACTAGCCTTGACGGAAAAAGGTTAACTACCCTGTCAGCTTTATGAATTGATTACCATATTATGAAAGATTCGAGTTATGAGTAAACCCTGCTTTTGGTGCACTATATTTAACGTTGGTAAGGTGGATGGTTTTTCTTGTCTTCGTTATGTGCTGGAATATGTTAATACTAATACTAATGTAAATAACTTTGACGTTGGATATTAGAGACAAGTTTTGAAGTTTCATCTTTGAACAATATCCAAAGGGCGATTTTTCTTTAAAAAAGGATTGTAAAATATGATTTTATGAATGGGTATAAGCTGTTTAATGTTTTCATTTTGATTACTACTACTATTATTAACCCAATCAAATAAAATACGACAGTGTGTTTAAGGTTTGAAGCAACCATTTACATGTTCAACAACTTCCAGCATTTAGTGGCGTTGGAAAAAATCGACAACCCAGTTTCTGTGTTATATGAATTTTACTTTACTTTTTATGTTAATTACTAAAACTTTGTGAAATTTACATAACCTGTGATGCGTGTAAATACCATAAAATAAACTTCAAGTTTAATTGCATTTGAATTCCGCTAAAGTGTGCACGTGTGTGAATATTCATACACGTACAGGAGATTAGTTTAAATGACACAAAATCTTTGTGAACGATGGGTATTTAAAGAGCAAGAGGTTTACAACACAATACAATCATTGAGTTCAATCTTATAATAATTACAAATGTACACATTTTTATTCGATTTATTAAATATTTCAAACTGCTTAACAACCATAGTGCACATCAGAGCATTTTGAGTTTTAGAACGTAAAAGAAATATGAGAAAGGAGATACAGAGCAGGACAAGACAAAGTTTGTTGGAGTAACCTTTTAAAAGAAGTAGAATCAACTACGAATAGTTCCATTCAGTCAGATACATCAAGCAATGAAACTCAGCCAAAGGGAACTAACACGCCTGCAAAATTCTCTACAGTGACTCGTTCGGAAACAGGGCAAAAGCAAACTCCTCTTCCAGAAACGAAAAGCAATTGGGATTAAACTGGGTTTCATCCATGTAACGTGATTATGGAGGATGCAGATAACCGACAAATTCTGGAAATTCTATCCGCTGTGACTGTGCTTGCACGAATACGGAAAAGGCTCTCCCTCTCTGCGGCCCTGTTGCTGTGCTTCACCGGAGTCTAGGAGTGATTGTGCACATTCTAATATTAACTGTTGTTGTGATGGTGAAGAGTTGTTAGTTGCAGTGGGTGGAAAGCTTCGAGGAGGGGGGGGGGGGGATTCACCACATTAACTGCACACGGAGATCCAGCTCAAAGCTAAAGACCCACCTCCAGCAACTCCAGCTCAGGATGCACAGCGCCGTGTGGGTCATGGAAACGCATCCAGTGTGTAGGATTTGGATCACATGCTAGTGAAAGGGGCTTGAGTGAGCTGTGCCACCACGCCAGTGATCCGATGGATAGATTTGCAACCTAGTGAATAGGCTCACGGTCTAGAATCAGGTGGATTTTGTCCTTCAGGGAGAGAAGGGGCGCTTGTGGAACAGTGTCGATTCTCCGGATTCATCGACTAGGAAGGATGAAGGAGAGGCAGGCGCCACTGGTGGTATTTATACACTGCGGCGGCTTTCTGTGAGACTCGGGGTCAACTTTACGTGAGGAATTTGGGCTCTTGCTTCTCGCAGACAGTCAGACCTACCTCGTTTGCTAATCTCGTTAGACCGGATGATCGATCGATCGGAAGGACCGACTGGAATCGTCACAGTGGGGCCCTGGTTCGCGATCGTGCTGCCTCCAGTCCACCTGTGGCGGCGCTATGTGGCATCAACGAACTACTTTCTTATTGATTGTGCGATCAACTGATGTCCACTTGTATGCAAGTTACGTTGGCCCGCGAGCTTTGGATTCAGTCCCTGCTTGCTCCCTACTGGTCACATATTCAATTTCCCTTTTGTTGCGTTCGAAGTGGGTGTAGGAGTTTATTTGCGGTGGGTGGAGGTTGCGGAGGACTGTGGGAAGCGAGCTTGTCGTCGTGAGGTTTAGTACTTTAGAGCATCCCTGCGGTGCTGCAGAAGCGGGGCACAGTTTGTTAGTTTTCAGCTCGTGACGCGTATACTGGAGCCCTCTTCTAGGCCTGCCTTTGAGCTTCTTCAGTGAGCGGGCTTCCCCTTCACCGCAACGGGACTGTTCAGTATGATTGTTGTTGCTCGGCGTCGGTCCCACAGCGGAGGGTGCACTCGCGTGCTCCCGCCTCCAGTTCCGTGTTTAAATTGCCAGTTGCCGTATAACACAAATAGCGTGTGAGTGGGTTCATTCTTCTGGTGGCCGCTTGCAATCGTGGATTGAATCAACACTGGCTTCACTGCAAGCTGAGCCTGAATTATCAGTCTCAAAGAATCCACCTCGAAGTTGATTGCTCGGATCAATAAGTGTGCGGGGAGAGTTTCCTAAGAGCACCATGTGTGTCGCCAACACAATCTTGCAGGTGCACCCAGCGTCGAATTCAGGCGATGAGTCGAATCTCGACATGCAGGAGTGTTCGCTCCAGTCGTGGCCTGCTCCACAGCAGGTAGGCTCCTCACAATATCTCAGTTGGCGTCTGACATAGAGGACATTCAAGCTGCTCTAATCGTGAAATTATGAATTGAGGATGCAGTGATCAATACCGTAACATTTCTTGTGCTTGCAGGTTGTGGAGGAATTGAAAGAGTCGATGAGAATTGCCGGCCCGCTCGCAGTGGCAAATGGGATCGCTTACGCAAGGTTAATGGTATCTGTGCTCTGTCTGGGTCGATTGGGCGGGTTGGAGCTCGCGGGCGGCGCGCTGTCAATCGGCTTCACCAACATCACGGGTTACTCTGTTCTCTATGGACTCGCGTCTGGAATGGACCCGATTTGCAGTCAAGCGGTGGGCTCGAAGAACTGGCACGTTGTGGGGCTAACCCTCCAGCGCACGGTGCTCATCCTGCTCGCAGCCTGTCTCCCTATTGGTATGTTGTGGACGAACCTGGGGCCTATCATGCTCTTCCTCGGCCAAGACCCCGCCATCACTGCGGTCGCCAGCGTCTACTGCTGGTACTCGCTACCGGACCTCGTGGCGAATTGCTTGCTGCAGCCGCTGCGGAATTACTACCGGTGCCAGGGATTTCAGTCTCCGATGATGTACTGCGCCGCGCTCGGAGTGGTGCTCCACATCCCCCTCAGCATTGTCTTCACGTTCGTCTTCCGTCTTGGCGTGCCGGGAGTGGCGATTGCAGCTTCCATGACGAATATCAATGTGGTCATCCTCATGCTCCTTTACGTGAAATTTTCGGGAGCGTTTAAGAAGACCTGGGGAGGGGTCTCGCCCGCTTGTGTGCGCGAGTGGTGGCCTGTTCTGTCCCTCGCCCTACCGAGCTGCCTGCAGATTTGCTTAGAATGGTGGTGGTACGAGATCATGACCATCTTAGCTGGGTATCTTCCGAATCCACAAGTGGCAGTTGCAGCGACTGCGATACTGATTCAAACTACCGCACTCATGTACACCATTCCCATGTCATTAGGGTCGGCGGTCTCTACCCGAGTGGGCAACGAGCTCGGGGCCAACCGACCAGAGAGAGCAAGAAATGCGAGCCTTGTTTCCCTGGGAGTTGCGTTTCTTGTTGCGATAGTGAGTGTGATTTGGACAACGGTTTTCCGAAAGCAATGGGGCACTCTCTACACCGTCGACGCAAGTGTGCTCGCCCTGACCGCCGCTGCCTTGCCCTTAATCGGTCTCTGTGAGCTCGGAAATTGCCCGCAAACGGCAGGGTGCGGGATTCTCCGCGGCAGCGCTCGCCCGACCATCACCGCCTCAATCATGTTCGGTTCGTTCTACCTAGTTGGCACGCCTGTGGCTGTGATTTCTGCTTTTTGGCTAAGGATCGGATTCCAGGGGCTTTGGTATGGCCTTCTCGCAGCACAGATCTGTTGCGCATGTGCCATATTGTTCATCACCCTGCGCATCAACTGGATTGAGGAATGCGCCAGAGCGAACAAGCTCACACGCTCAGAAGTTGATTCTGCGAGTGAGATGAGCAAACTCGTGAACCACAAGATTGGCCCAATCCTCGGCGCCGACAGCGACGAACTCTCAGCATTCAAGTTGGAGCTCAGCTCTATTGTTTCCATTGCCGAAGAGCAGGCCGGGCTGCTGGTCGACGGGAATCCAAATGACAAATTCTACCCACTGCAAATCACGTGAGCTTCACCTTTTGCAGCTACTCAGAGTCGTCAATGTGTATAGGAGCCTTTAGCCGTCGAATTTCGAATGCTTCAGCAAGTGGTGCTGGTGATCAATTACTGTTGTGGTTCACCCGGCCCAACAATCTGTACAATATTTGCTTCCCCACAGCAATAGTCTTGAAGTTTCCTTCTTTTTAAGGAAGCCTCCTAGTAGAGTGGAGATTAGGTAATGAGGGCCGGTGGCACATTGCCGCAAGTTAAGAAGCTTTTGGTTGCTCTCCAACGATTTCAAATGTAGACCTTGATGCAGTTTTTTTTAATTTATTTTTATTTTTTATTTTCTCCTTGTGGAATAAAGATATCAACTTTGTTGCAACTGATCTGCTGATTATTGGTTCATACTTGATTCCTCTGTGTTATCAAGCTCATAGATTGGCGTACAATGAGGACATGATATGGAGACTAATTACTTTGACACATTCCTCTCTCCTTTCCCGAAACGATCATTGCGTGCTGGAGTGAATGTACGACTGGTTTCACGTGACACTTTCAAGTTGCGGTGGTCAGTATCCTTCACGTGCTGCCGGTAACTTCCTGGTAGTGAGAAGGGAAAGGTGAAGAGGCACAAGCTAGATTATCTGGTGGATTGTTGAAAGCGGTTGATGCACGAACTGCAGTGAAGCGATCTATATGGTGAAGCTACAGGCTTGCTGAGATATTAGATTCGAATCCATATCACGTTGTACAGAAATGAGAAATGTCTTGACTCTCCTAAATCGTGAACTTGTATAAGACTCTTTTGTAATCCGACAGTGTTCAAGAGAATCCTTCAACTCAATGCTCTGGAGTTCATAAGAAAGTAGCCCAAGAGACACCTACTAAACCCAAGGCATCTGAACATTGCCCAATGAAATTTCACTACAGGAGGATTCCGAAGTACATGAACGCAAATATGAGACCTACCAAAGAATTGAGCATGTGCATCCGAACTGTTTGAAAAAAATTATTTAACAGAAATGCATTCACCAAATAACCTTCAAAGCTATACACAATTCCCGCTTCTAATTTGCAAAAATATCTACACTAAATATTACTGCTTCCCTGCGAGAATTTGACATTACCGAGGTCGCTAGCAATTTTTACAGTGTTAGCTAATGAAGAAGACGCCCGCCTCACCAACCCCGCAACAGCAGAAGAGGACCGTCTCACATTGGGAGAGCTCGATCCGCTGCTCATAAATTGGTGTGATAAATTTCTTGCAAGAGATGGTGGAGGAGCCGCAAGTTGGGGTGCCATGTCTGTTTGACAACCTTCTGCACTACGCAAAAGACTCGTTGAATCCACAGATAATTCTTCATCTTTTTCTTGTTCTAAAATCACGATGCGGCGCGTTTTCTTCTGTTTCCGCTTGCGAAAAACATTTCCAGGATTTCCCTCCGCACCATACTTCTTTGACGGGGAGGGTTCTGCTGAAGATGATTCCTCAGTCACACCGACAGTACCTCGAATCCCCTTGTCGTTTCTTCCTGTTTCAAGCACGCTAGTGTCTGAGTGCAAAGGAGAGCTGGTTCCAGCGCCTCCACCACTGCCCTTTACGGCATTTTCCACATCAATTCCGACATCTTCAGGAGATTTGCTCTTCAGCTCTTGAAAAATAACTTGCTTATCAACTACCGACAATGAGTCATTTGAGTCATTATTAGTCATGTCTGATACGGAATCTGGTAGATGTTCATCGAAGGAATCACTGTCACTATCACTTGTGGCAGACAAATCTGGTGGCAACCGAAGCATCTCATTCACTAAGCTTTGGCGTCTATGCATAAGGTCACTGTCATAATGCGGAGGTGATGCTGGCAGTCCATTGTTCCCATCCTCCCTAGATTCCCACGAACTCATAATTCCCTCACTGCTGAGGGGCTTGTCCTCAATACTAAACTTTGCCACAGACTCAAGAACATGTTCAGCTTCTCGAAGGCCTGTAGGAACAGTTAAATCCTCTAACCTTCTTCTAGTCTTTTCCTTGCCTTGCTTCCTTCGTTGCGACCATCTTCCACTGTCACTGTTACCCATGATTTTATTGCCATTACTTGGACTTTGAGCTTCGTTCTCCCAGAATCCAATCAGATCATTCAGCCAGGTACTCGAGCCGTCCCTTTTCATGTTTTCAATCTGTTCTATAAGTTGGGCTACCTCAGGATCAACCTCCTTCGCTTCTGACCGTAGCGGAGCAGTTTCGGTTTCAGGTACATCCTGTTGAACACTGTCAACTGCTCCAGCTAGCTTAGAGTCAACTGTGCGATCATCAATTGATGCCACTCGTATGGCCTTTTTCTGTCATTCAACACACAGCAATGACCTAAAGATTATTTAAGGTGCATAAAACAAAAAAAAGAACACATCCGACGCAATGTATATATAGGGTTGATACGAAGACTTTTTGTCCAGGAAAATATTACTTAATACAGCTATAATTGCTTAAGCTAATGTGCAATACAACCAAATTTCACAACTAATGTCAAGAGTAAAGAGTTGAATTCATCTGCTGTATGTGCAAAATAAACGAAGGGTGTATCAAACAAAAGCGTACCTTGTGTGGTTGTCGAGGTTGAGAAAGCAGAGGGTCTGAAGAGTCTCTTGTATTGTGAAGAGGCACATCGGAAGCCTTCGCAGGTGCGTAGACACCGTAACTGGCTCGGCGCTTAGCCCGCTGAGAGACCATTCTGCTCCTTAACCAACACTCCAGCTTCGTCATCAATTTTCCATCCACTTCCAGCTGCCAGAAATAAGAAATACGGAGCGAGGTTAGGTCGCAAAATCCTCGATAAGCTAGAATCAGAATGACATTGGTGTCTTTGAAAACAAAGAACTAGTGAGTTCTAGCCAAGCTGCACAGAAACAAGGAAATGCAGGTCACACAACTGCAGATTAATTTCTTTCGTTAAATAGAACAGAAAAATGAAAAAGTAAAATTTGACAAAGAAAAAGAAAAAGAAAAAGAAAATGATCTAATTCTATCCGTGTAGAAAGCAATAAACCAGATTAAGCACTTAAATAAGCTGCTACATCAGAGCTGCAATGACGCAAACGTATTCATACTGTAGAGAGAGGAACAACAGAAAAATGACATACCTTACTTGCATCTTCAAAGTAGCTGAAAACCTCTTCACGATAGTGTGAGCTGACACTAATAGGGTTGCCATTCAACCACAAGGTCTGAAGACTTGGCAGAAAGCCAAGAGTCTCCACTTCATGAAAATTGGAAATTATATTATAAGAAAGGTCGAGAGCTTCAAGAGAATGAAGCGTCTCTATTCCTTGTGTTGAGACTAGCGCATTGTTCCTCAAGACTAGCTTAGTAATGGGACCCACTACCTGCATGAATTACAATCCCCAACTTAGGAACAAAGACGTCGGTAGGTGAAATCCACTTCAAACAATCCGTCAGATAAACAGCATAGCTTTTACTGTCGGACACGTGATGCGATATATGAACTGATACATAAGTTTTAGATGCCATACGTTGTGCGGGGCAAGGTGAGGCGAACAAGAGGAACAACATCCTTTGTGAAATCTCCAGGGGATATTAACAGAACATTATAGAAAATGAAGTGATTATTTTAGAGGACAAAAAATCGAGAACGAAGTCCAACACACCTGACTTAAAGAAGCCACAGATGAAATGTGGTTGAATCCAAGGTCAAGGAACTTAAGCCTGGTGCACTTTTGAAGATTGGCTACTTTCGCAAAGTTGTTTCTACTAAGATCCATAGTATCCACAACAGGAAGAAGCTGGAGGGACTCATCCATCAGAGCCAATCCATTGCAAGGACATGCTACAGCTGTTAGTCTGCTCCATTTCATCGCGACATTTACCTCCACAGTTGGCTCCGCAAAAATGTGTCTCAACGCATTCTGCATGCCACGGTGTCCACAGCCCTTCAGAGATCGACCAATTAAGACAGGATGGAGAGGTAGAATAAGGTCATGTCCCATCTAATATTCCATTCTCATATACTCTCATCATTCTTAGACTGACAGATACAAGAATTGACAAGGTAAGGCACTCTACTCAAAAAAAAATTAAGCAATTTCCTCAACCTAGAGCACTCAAAGTCACTGGTCTAAACCTAATCTACACTAAGAGTTGCAGAGAATGCTGAGAGCAGCATTCTATTTACTCGTGATACAGCTGCTTCAAATATCAAACCTCTAGATCACAAAACCCCAACCATACTGTAGCCCAAACACTCGAACCAGTGAAAGAATCCAGCTGCTCACGGGAATGGTATAGTTAAAAAAATCCTGTTCCAGAGGAACAAAAGCTAGCAGCAAGTATTTCTCTCCAACATATGAAGTTTCACCAACCAATAAACCGACATGATGTTCTAGGAACTACTCGAGCAAATCCAATCTCAGAAGCTAAAGCAACAGGAGGTACTAATTATCTTACACTCAGTTCTCATGAGCCCATCAACCAAGAATTACCCTGGAAGAAGGAGAGAATTAAAAATGTAAAAGAACAAAAACAAATATTTTAAAAAGCAAACGAAACCCCACTGTTCAAGAATCCCGTGTGCAGATTCATTGGCGGCAATAACTGGCTTCAGCACGACACTCATGAAACCTCCTAATAGCACACAAGAAATCCATAGGTTATCAATTTGACAATAGAAAATTCAACTTACGGCAGAATTGTAGCAAACGAGCTTCTCCAGAATAGGTCGCAATTGGAGCAACCCTCGCGCGGCCGAGGTGGACAAGTCACACCCCCGAAGCTCCAGGCTCTTCAGCCTCGTGAACGGGAGCAAAGTAATCGGGGTAGGGTCGCGAGCGGGCGACCGCAGGACCGCCACCACTTGCAAGGCTCCTAGCAGACGCAGCACGCGCCTGAGCTTCTCTAGCGCGCGATGGTCGCCCAAATCGGCCACATAAGCGCGCAGGTAATCGACGGGCGCGCCGCTGCGCAGCTGCTCCAGCTCTTGCAGTGCCTCCAGGCGCGTCTGCAGGTAGTGCAATCCCACGGGGTTGAGCTTGAGCACCAAAGTCCCATCGAGGAGATTCCCGGCCTCCTGCTCGATGAAACGAGCCAGTAGCTCCAGGTATCGGTCTCCCGTCACTATCGCCATTCATGCTGCCCTTTTCCTTCGGCAGGGTTCGCAATTCCGCTCCGTCAACCTCCGGCGATAGCCATCCTCATCGTCAACCTTGCTACGCTCCCTCAAACTCCCACCACCCTTGCTGCTGCTGCTGCTCGCGTTGCATCATCGACGTCGTCAGGTTCCGCCATAGCCAAGCCATTCATTCACTCTCTCTAAGCCTCTTTGGCAAGCTCGCCTCGCGTAATTCAGGGTATCATCCGGATATCTACCAATAGCGATATATCCCGAATTTTTTTTGCCACCTGGATAACCTCGATGCCGTTGATCTCCAGCTGCTGACGCATCCTCGTCTATCCATCTGCCCTCCCCCGCCCAACTCACAATCCCTACAATGTCCACTTTTCTGCAACGGATCCTATAATTTATGGGCAATTTTTGTGTATCAGCCCAACACATGCAAGAAACTTTCCCATGAGTGTTGTGAGTGTTTTCTTGAGTTAAACTGTGTTCTCCCTTAAGAATATCTGAGAAGATGAGATAGTGGTGAGAGTAAAAAAGTGGGCAATGTTTGAGATTCGTGGTTGTCCTTTGTATTTTTCTCAGCCAAAGTTCAATTGCTTGCAAAGAGACAACATTGACAACAATACATGCTGTGTTGCGAGTAAGTGCAACTCAACCTTGTCTGCGCTTGCTTCCACTTTTTTGGTAATAACTAATGCTGCTCGCAAACCCCTTGCATTTCGTTGCAACAGTCACTGTGTTGACACCCAGTATACAACCTTGCTTACTCTGGAAGTTTTCCAGATCTTAGATTGTAGACTTGTAGATGAAGATGATAAACCAGTTTCTGAGTTGAAGTGTATGCAAAGTTGCTCTCTTAGGACGTAGAGATGTAGACGACTCTTTTTAAGGTGAGATATGATGTTAAATTGTGAAAATGTGTTGCAATACGATCCAAGACATTTAGTTACGAAAGATTTGTAAAATATAATAATTGTGAGAACATGATTGAATAGATAATAAATCAATGTTGCCCAACTAAAAATATATATACTACCGACCACTCATTTGAGAAGCACCCTTTGTTCTGTCGACACCATTAATACGAACGAGTTGCATGGAGACTCTTTGGGCTCTGGAATCACTTCACATCCAGCGAGCAGCTGTAAAGCCAACCTTACTCCACAACCACGCAATAATTATCTATTATTTTTCATAAAATTGTAAATTAACTTATTTAGCAAGAGAGAAATGTCACGTTCAGAAGCGCGAGCTACAGTCGAGACTGACCCAGGCAGACGGAAGAATTTAAGTTTGGAAGCCCTCAACTAGCAGAATCTGCAACACAAAAGCTTAGTAATACTTCTAGTCCCGTCAGAACACTCTACACCGCCTGTCTACAGTAAATCCATAATCAATATCTTCACTGTCTTATTGAAACTGCTACAGGCAGCTCAACGTTTAGGTTATTACTCTGATGGCATTCGGGAAAAGGGTGCAATAACAATGAGCTGCTAGTGTGCGCAATCGTTTTGGAGAAATAATCACTGACTATCTGCAGCATGCGACAAAGAATGTGGTACGGAACAGATAATCACATTCAGTCCCTAAACTCATCCATGAATTTCTTATGGAAAGTTGTCAGACGGTCAATAATCGCTCCAAAATTCTCTTCAGATGGCAAAATCGTGCAACGAACGTGCCATGTACCAGGTACCTGAAAATACACCAACCTCGCATTGTGAGACATGAAGATTTATCAATCATGACGACAACAGAACCTTTACGATGAAAGCCAAATAACTCTATGGTTGTGTAGAGCATGATTACTGTCTGAGAATATGAATGTAACATTGACTTAGGAAGAGTGTCCCAATCCAGAGGCTGTACCAATACTGTATTTCAGGTGTGTCTCGCTTCTCCCTGGGACTTTCCAGCGTAGCAACTGACATAATGGGACCTAGATGAGCTCTTCATACAGCGTGTGAGATATTGCCATTTTTTTAAGCGAAGTGGCGCATACCTGACCAAAGCCTGAGCCAGGCACCATGACGATGCCAGTAGAATCGAGTAACCTTCGTGTATAGAAAACATCAGCTTTCATACCAGCTTCTCCTGCCGCTATTTGGGCCTTCTTTGGCAAATATAAACGAGGGAACACATACATTGCACCCTCTGCGGCATTACAGGATACACCTTCCAACTTATTCATTGCCTCTGTCAAAACCTGAACATTGCCGACAGATTAGAGTAAAACAAATATGCATCATTCGAGAGAAAATGTGCATCACTAAAGACAAAAGAAGTCTGAAATATTTGAACTGGTGTTTGCGGCAGCAAGCCAACTGTACCTTTGCACGTCTAGCCAGTGACGACAAAATCGAATCCCGCTCACGAGCAAATTGTTCGTAAGACGAATCTCCAGGCTGCCAGTGCATCATTACATTAACACGTTACAAATCAAATGAGCAGGGAACTCTAAAGGAAAGGTTCATGCCCATAACACCGTTATTACACCTCATGCTGCACTACTTCAGTCCACACTGCAAGGTGCACCGGATGTCCTTAGACTAGTGACACTAGTATATTACGAATAACTAGCATTAACTTCGATAAAATTACAAACCTTAGGCGGATTCATAACCAAGCTCACGAGAATTTGACCGGAGACATTGGAACACAAGTTTACTGACGCTAGCTTGTACAGCTGATCCTTCACATCTTTGGGCAAACCTGTCACCTCCATGTAGCCCCCCCGTCGCCCACATTCACCGTAGTAACCTGCACACAGTGCACCCAATATTTAACAAATGATACTATAGTCTCAAAATCCTTCTTTCGTAACCGCTTGAATGAAAAATTTGCATCGATTGAGAGAGCCACAAACCTTTCTTCTCGTCACTCGAAAACAGTTATCGACAAAAGATCCCTTACCTTTAGAAACCGATTGAAAGGAAACAATAACAATGTCCTTGTCTTCCAAGCCCATACTCCGTGCAACTTTCTTGAATGAATTGAAAGTTTTGCCCTCAGCATATATATTTTCTTGATAAACCTGTTATTGGAGGCATACCAGTTATGTATTGGACAAGAATGAACTTTTAAATCGCAAAATGAACGCATGCAAACTCGGTCTCCGCATAATCATCTTACAAGGCTTATCAACAACAAATATAAACAAAACTTTACAATACCTCATCTGCCAGAAGAACAAGACCTTCGTCCTTACAAAAGTTCACAATATCCTGCTGGTTCTCCTCAGAAAGAACCTGATTATGTCAAATGAATATTCATGTTAAAACTTGAGCACTACAGAGAGGCACAATTTCAGAGTAGCGAATGATCAAAAGCATATGAGCAAAACCACAGCAGCCGATATGAAAGAGCGCAATAGAGCTCGTGACTGAAAACTCTAGCAGCTATGAAACTTCCATTTCATCCTGTTAAGTGAATACAGTAACGTAATTAGTTTGTAATACGCTCTGAAAAACCTGCTGGAACTAACCTGACCGGTTGGATTTCCAGGGTTAATAACAACAAGAGCCCGCACAGTAGTGCCTGCATCATGGGCCTCTTGAAGCCGTTTCTTCAGCTCATTTAATTCCAGACCCCATCCAGAATTCTCATTCAAATAATATGGCACCTGTTAGTAATCAGAAATATCTCAATTTTCAGAAACCACAATGCTGTGAGTCCGAACATTTACAAATAATGATAATAACAAACATTATATTAATAACATTAATAAGAATCATAGATTATTTTCTGGTTACAAAATTGATAAATCTAAATATACTAGTTTTGCCATTGTGGGAGCTCACGGGAGTGGTTGACTGGTAATGAAAGAGTTTGGAAGAAGAAACATTACCAAGGTACCCCCATGCAACGCAATGGATGCAGAGTACAAAGGATACTGTGGAATAGGACACAAAATTCCATCTTTTTCTGAGCTCAAAAGCAACTGCATCATCATGTGAACCTGTCGTATATCTTATGTCGTTAGACTGATGAAGCGACAGGAGAATTTAAAATTACGACCATTCGAAGCAATTTTTGAAACATATGGTCAGAAACTTACTCCAGGACTAGCTCCATCTGTAACAAAGATATCTTCAGGATTTGCGGGATACCCATCACGGGCTGCAATACCAGCTGCAATGTCATCTCGGCAAACCGTGACACCCTGCAAAGAACATGCATATCTCAGACAATTGAATTTCCCCTTGGAAGCTTTGAAAAGAAATTACACAACCAAGATAAGGTTGCAAGAAGTGGGACGTAAATGAAGCCAATTTAATGTTAGTGACAAAACAATCTGCTTGAAAATTGGTTGATCCGATCCAGGAACACGTATGGCATGATGCAACTTTAACACGCAATAATACTCCGCATAAATTCCTCTCAAGAAAAACCATAACTTCTACATTCAACCTCCTCACTGGTTTCGTATGGAAAGGCTTATAATGAAAAAAGAAAACAAGCAAACAACAAAACAAAATTTCCAATTTTTATGTCATTCCTAGACTAATGAAGAGATAAAGGCCACTCTCAAGGAATGTTAATATAGGCAAGGATAAATAACTATACCTGACTATGGCTATATGCCCCTGTAGTCTGCCCAGGAATTTTATTAATTATCCTGGATGCTCTTGAGATTGCATCCGAACTAACAAGCAAAAAAGATAAACTTCTCAGCGCACATGAGCCATTCATATGAGCCATAACGTATGTATCATGAAAACCGTCGTTATTGGAATAAAGGCAACAATCACACAAATGTCTCTAAAGGCATCAGAATCCACAAGTGCAAAAATTCAGGTTTCATCCAACTACGTCCCACACAACACTTTGCATACACTGCTCAGGAGAAAGGACCTGGAATGAAGGAAAACAGTACCTGAACAGAGCGTGCGTCTCTGGCTTATCAAGCAGGCTCGGATGATCACAAAGTGCAACAACCTGAATAATAATAAGACTTGATTACAAATTGAGTCAACTAATATCAACAGAAAACCTTCAAAATGAGCGAACTAAACCAACAAAGGTCATGAAATCTAAGAGAAGATTTACTAGAGAATCAAACTGCACCCTCTTCAACAAAATATAATATTAACCACGTAAGAATGTACGTGTCGATTTTCCATAAATGTCTTACCTCTCTGAAAAAGGTGATCGGTTTTTGACCGAGGGATTGAGGATTGCCAATGTTGCAGTAAATAATCTGCAAAGACAGTCAGATGTAGCTGTCTCAAATATACTTTCGACCATTAATCACACGCCTCCAATCACGTCCATAGAAAAATTATACAATATTCGTGCACAAGTGATGTACGTAAATTCGACCACAAGAAAAACGGCTCACATACCTCGTCAAACGGATGAGATCCTGGGTTTGATTTCAACTCTTCAGCAAGGGCCTGAAAATAGCAAACAAGACGATATTGCAGAAATCCCACATGAAAAACACTAATTTAGAATTTAAATAGAGCTTACAACATCAAGACAAAACAAATGTCAAATTTCACTGATCTTTTTATCTCTAAAGTATTTGTCAAGACCCACAGAAACTTCTAAAGTACACAGAGATAGTAGAAAAAAGCACCTGAGCACGAATTACAATCTCTCCACGCACGGCATACTCTGCATTAAGGACCTGCAATTACATGTACAAAGTCGCAAAGGTGATGAACATTCTTGTTTCGTTGAAATAGAGGCGGAAAAATAATTAAGCTTAAAGTTGGCTTCTCTGAAGATACGAAGGTAGCCTAACAAACATGCAGCTTCCAGCTATTCTCCATCGGTAATTTACACGGTTTGTCTTCTTGAGTTCAACACTCTCAAAGAAAATCTTCCAGGAAGATACTGACAAGGTCTGAGGCCTTGTTGAAACTATGGATCGAAGGGCAGAAGTCGGTTGACACTGCAGCCCTACTTTTTCTCTTTCATCTTGAAGTCAGCGATCCCACCGCTAATTCAGATGCGTCGTGCACAGACGATCGCCAATTCAACAGACTCGTAACAAAGGTAAAAAAAATTGCAGAATACTAAAACAGATGTCGAGCGCTATGAGAAATAATTGAAAGAATCACACCTTTGGATTGATGCTTTGAATGGAAACTGGATTTTTCTTTGGCATTGAAGACCCTTTGCTCTGATTCAGTCCAGAGCTTACGGTCTGTTCCCTTACTGCTGCTCCATTCTTCGAGTAAACTGGCGCCGACGTATCCACTCCACTCTGCATTTCTTCCACCGTTCACCGCACCAGCAGTTGCTCTTGTCTCTGCCTCCCTCTCCTGCCGATGGCTTTGTTCTTCTCCTACACACCGCTATTCCCTACTCAAAAACCAAAAAAGCTGTAGGAAAGATCTATCTCATAAAGAGCCCTCGCCTGTCGGACATGCTCTATCGCCGATTCACGAAGCAGAAACGTCGATCTCCTCTATTGCCTTGACAACTCATCAAACAATGTAAGACCCAAATGCTTCTCCTGCATCCACTCCCCTCTCGTTCATTTATAAGTACCACCTATCTCCTGGGAATAACACATTTCGGAGCTTCACCGATATTATCCAAATTTTAACTGCATCCAATCGCCGATTGCAATGAAAAGACGAAAATTCAGGAACGACACATCCAGACTTAGAAAGTGCTAACACATTGGCCATTAACACAAACCAAAGGCAGAGGACAACAAAGTTGCCTGTTGTCTCCCCGTCATCTACCCCCAGCCTACTTGTCAGAACCACATCGATACGCGGCGCCACACATGGCCACCTCACAATCCCGTTCCTGAACAGCAACGCACCTCCGCACTGCATACAAACGACAAAACACAGCTGTAGCAGCATCGGGATAAATATCACATCGTCTCTCTCCCTCTCTCGCTCGCTTTACCTCGCCATCACCAACCATTCCTCCAGGTCTCATCTCTTACCTCCGACTACGCTTTCTCCCACTGCAGTAATTCAACTCGACGGCCGAATTTAGAGAGCACAAACTATTATAAGAACGTGCCTACGCCGTCTCCTTCCTCCTTCTTCTTCTTCTTCGTCATCAGCTTCAAATTTTGCTCCCTACCAGTGGTCGCCGTCTCGCGGGGCATGCGCATTTCGGTACGGCATTTCCACGTTCCATACATTTCTGAGTCACTTCCAGGGCGAGATGTGTTTTTCAACGTGGCCGGGTGATGCACAAGAAACTCCCTTCCCTCACGAGGTCCCCCCCCCCCCCAACCCCAAAGATAAGGTCCGCGCCGGGGGGTGATGCTGCTGCAGCGGCTGCCGGAGTCCAGTCAGTGGCGACGAGGTTTTGTCCACCGTGGCTCACTCGGAATCATTTTTCCCCTGTAGTAGGCGCAGTCTTGGGAGTCGTGACTCTTGGTACACGTAAGCCTCGGACAACGTATGACGTGGCACGCATGAACCCCATGGTGGACTTATGGGAACTCGTGCAATTGGGCATTGCGATCTGTGGCATATCCATCCATTTCTTGGCTCATGCTTCCTTGTTTCCATATTCCTTAGTTCCAATGTTGCTATGTTCTCTTGTTCCCATGTCCCCTGGTTTCTTAGTTTTTATATTCCTATGTTTGTTTGTTCCCCCACGTACCTTGAGTTCTCTTCTTCATTGTGAATTAGAATACTTCTTTGTTTCTTTGTATTACACCCAAGTTGTCTTATGTAATAGATATGAAAGATGTTGTTGTAACTAACTTATTTGGAAAATAAATTATAGTGTTTGTACATGATATCAAGAAGGAGAAGAATAAAGGTGTTTACTAAAAATGTTAGAGCTTTCACTAATTGTAGTTGCCCACGAGTAAAGGGTTATTGTAATATTGCAATTTTTTATTATTTTAATTTGAGGAGTTTTTATGAGTAAAAAAATCTTTCTTTTTTAAAATTACTGGAATGATTGCATATTTTATATACATTATTTTTTTTAAATTTAGGATCCAATGCAGTTTTAATTTTTTTGGATAATTTTGATTCATGAGTTTTATTTTATGATTTTAGTAGAAAACAACTATATCTTTTAAGGGCATTTTTAAAACTTTTGTTGCCTTTATAATGAATCATTTGCTTGTCATAAATAAAAAGTTATAGAGTTTAATAATTATTATACTAATGAAAAAGTTTCACTGATTTTTAATAGTTTTTATATTTAAAATTGATTTTTTTCTAAATGATAACAATGGGATACTAAGCATTAGTTTATGATATTAATATTGATAAAAATTATACTAAAAGTCATTTTCATCTTCAAGTGAGATATGTGTATATTTCATATTTTAATATATATATATATATATATATATATATATATATATGCACATATATAATTGATTAAAGTAACTTCAAAATAGTTGTTTGAATGTATGTGTGTATATATATATATATATATATAGTTATATGTATGTATATACATATATATAACTATATAAATATATATATATATATAGCAACTTTGATATAAGATAAAGAGACAAAAATGCATTTTGATTGGTTGTTTAAGGAAACTTTGGGAAAGTGGGAGCACCAAGTTGACAGAACTATCAAGATTTCCAATAACAAAGTTATTGAGATCTAATCACAGCTTCTGCATTGACATTACTGATGGAGGTTTTGGTGCATACATTTAATCAGGATTTCTGATGGCCACTACATACATTTTCTATGCCCAATTGAAGTGAGTAAGTGCAATTAGATGATATCAATGTACAATTTCGGATATTTATTTTTGAAGTTATATATTATTTGAGATGCATTTAGATTGATGAAATTTTTTAGAAAATTTTAGAAGCTTATTGTCAAAACTTAAATAAAATATCTTATTACTTTCTTCTTGTACCATGTGCAAAAAGATACTAGGAATTTATTGCCTTAACTTCTTGTTTTATACACAATACAAATGAATAGAAAAGTATGGTGTTGCTAATATCACCACACTATTTTTAATTTTTTTTAATTGAGGGAACAACTTATTTTTATTAACTTTTCATATATATTCTTTTGCATAGTTTGAAAAAAAGAATACATATTGATATAGAAAAAATTAAAGAAATATGTTGAGTTGATGATGGGTGATGGTAATAATAACAAAAATTGTTGTGGTATTAGCAATATCCTAAAAGTAAAGTCATTTTTAGACTAACCAACTTTTTTGTCTAACTTGTCTATTTTCTTACAAGTTGTTATTTGTTTTGGGATATTTATTTAATTGAGTAATTTATTCAAAATCTTATTAATTTTTTGTCCATATTCAAATCATAGAATTTCATATAGTGATTTGACAAAGATTACCATAAAAATAGTTATTCTAGATTTTTTTTTTGTACTAGTTTGATTGTTTGTTTGTTTTTCTTTCTTCTTTTTATTTTTTTAATTTTTTTTAATTTTTTAAATTTCTTTTGATTAAAATATATCCTTAGAAATAGAAATTTTAATTATTTTAATTCTTTTAGTCATGGCTAATTTTTTCACATTTTATTTAAATCATTTTAATTTTTAAGATACATCTTAACTAGTGTATCCAAAACAAAAAAGTAAAAAGTAACGAAATTTAAAAAATATATAAAAATATAGAAGTTAGAAAAGCAACATCAATGCTTAATTTTATGTTAGTATGTTTTATAAAATTTTCCTTAAATAAACTTTTCATTGCTAAAGGTAAGCAAATTGTCAACATCCACTTTGTAAAATAAAATTACATAAAATCAGAGTATTAGGGATTATTGTGAATGTTTAAAAATAATAATGACAATAATGAATTATTGTGTTTGAGATAGACAAAAATGCCTTCACTTTTAAAACACCTCTGAAAACAATTTAGAACAATCTTTTATTCATACATATATGGCTTGAAGAGCACCATGACAATATAGAAAATAATCACATTACTTGTTAGAAACCTCCTAAGAATTAAGACAAAAATAAATTTACTTTAATATAGTAAATAAGAAAAAGAATTATTTTTAGACGTCATTAATGCTTTTTAGAAATTAAAGCAAGATATTTTTTAATAAAAAAATCAACTTAATATCTTATAGTCATACCCCTAAACAAATAATCTAGTGCACATATAAAGAAATACAAATGAGAAAATATTTTAACATAAACATAAAATAAAGAGACTAGATAAAAATATGATTTTTTTATTTAATTTTTTTTTTGACAAACCTTGGATATAAAGATTCTAAGATCAATTTAAGATAATTTGAACAGAATTATGTATTTTGAAATTTCTTAGTTATTGTTAATATCTGTTTTAAAATTGATTTATTATTTTGGATATGTAGAATTTCAAGTTTAAATAAATAATAAAAAGATTAGATATACATGCACATGCACATACCTATTTGAAAATTCTAAAATCAGAATATATAAATAAGTGTTGATAAATTGAAAATCACTGTGATGTTCATATCCAACTTGAAAATTACATCCAAAGGATATCACTGTTAAAAAGTATGTACATCTAAAAGCACCTTTTGTTTTTATGATTCACATTATACATAACAGTGAGTATCATTTTAAAAAATCGATTTTTGGAATTAACATGTCGTTAAGTTCCTTGGTCACTAACTGCTCAGGATAATTTGATGATCATCTTGATTTACAATTGCTATTAGTGAGTCAAATCATACAATCAATATTTGTATCTGATTACATGGCGAGGGCTGCACAAAATGGGTGGGACAAAGTGAAATAAAAATATCAGCATACATGAAGTGATGTAAATTTTAAGACCACAAATTAACTTGCAAGACTTTTGCTCGTCTGGTGCATGTCAAAGAGTATTGTGTTATAAATGCAAAAATTTGTAAACATTTGCTTTGTGTTCTACAACTGCGTGAACATTTGTGTTCTACTATATCCAAGATATCAGTTCTACTGTGAATATGATAAGAACACGAATTTATAGAGGTTTGAAAGAATGTAATCAGGATTGCTCACTGCTGTCCCTAGCACGGTCTACAATTCAGATGGGAGTTGGTTGCATCAAATAATATCTAGCTACGATAACTCCAAGGTGGGCAGTGATAGAAGCCGTCCCAGTGTAATCCATTGTTGTTTCCTCTGATACTCAATGTGGGAGCCACCTTATTCAACTGCGATATCGCTGATTTACTGGCACTCTGGCCCTTAACTGAATTCGGAATAGTCAGCACGCGCAAGCTTGTCCCATGAGCCTGTATTTGGCAAACCACACAGATGAGGATGAGGCATGTGAAACTACCAGATAACTACCAGATACTGATAAGACTTCTGACTTCCAACCAACCATCGGTGCCTGATACGCAATCACTATTCATAGAGCAATAATCATGTAGGTTCGATCTCTCTCTTGATACACACACACATATATATATATATATATATATATATATATATATATGTGTGTGTGTGTGTGTGTGTGTGTGAAGTTTGCATCTGGGATAAAAATGTAGAACCAACCTGGACATGTTGAAGGACCGACTGCATTACACCAGAAGTCAATTTCGAGCAGGCAAGTAGGTCTAAAAATAACAGTGACGAACCAAGTCGCTGAAATAATAATACAATTGCATTATCTGTCAAGGCTGTGCATCCATTAAGCTCCAGCACCTCAATCTTTGTACAATGGAATACGAGTGCCCTGCCAAAAAACGAGGCATCTTCTTCAACATCTACATTCCCGGTTTACACAAATGTCAACGGAGCCAGCCTAATCAGGGTTCGAGTACCACTGCACTCACCCTACAGCAGAGTAAATTAAGATTTCAGAGCGAACCGTATTGATAAGACGTACCTGATGGAGGAAATTGTGATTTTGCAGCAACCTCCAAGACTTAATACACGGAGTTCCGGACAACCTTCTGCTAAAGCTATAACACCCCAGTCAGTCACGCCCAACTGCTTCGACAATGGTCCTGCTCTTCGCATCCTCCAGCCCTAGTCCACAGTGGATATTATACGAAATACAGAATTGATCAGTTTCAGTACCCTTCTACGCATACACTGTCATTGTAAATCATGATTGGAAATGATTACTACTATCTGATAGCATATAAGTTACACAAACTTGATATGATCCTGAAAAATCTCCATCTCACATAGATAAGATTAGTTTGCAATTGTAACAAACTCTAGTAGCTATTTAGGTATTAAAAAATCCATGCACGTTCCTTGCACTGTTCAATCTGTTTAGCAGACTTGAACTCACATTACTGTTACTATAATTCAGATTTTCTGAGATGCCAAGATTACATTTCATCGAAGACATGTGGAAACGTGTGAATAATACTCGATGTCTTGAATCATTGAGAACATCAGTACCTGGAAAAACAACCTCACAAGCTTAGAGCAGTGACGGCCGATTTCTGTAAGAATGCGATCGTTTGCTGCAGGCAGCGCAAGCTGTTCAAGCTGCTCCAAATGCTTCACTAATCGGCAGAGAACTATTTCTTCCCTCTGCCAAACATCATTAAAGAGTAGGTTAAATGCCTACAATTGATACAGATGCTAAACCAAGTGAATCCATCAAAACGAGTGCACCGATGAACGGCATGATTTTAAAATAACTACATGCTTACCTCAGAGAGCTTGTAATTGTGCTGGTGCCCATGTGACAAGTCCAGCGATTTGAGATTGATGCACCACTCAGAAATATAATACCAGCTGCCTTGGAAAGAAGTTTGAGCGTGCAGATGCCGGATTTGGTGTCCCTTATACTTCATCAGATCTTGGGCGGGCAATAGATCCCAGTGCACTGAGGCATGCAGACTTAAGTAGAGCCGAATAGAAACCAAGGACGGGGGCATCAAAGCTGATAGGGTTTGTTTTGAATACATCTCAGCCACCTCTACCCCAATACTGTAACCCGCTTTGTCTGCTGCAATTTTTGGAGGGACTGCGAGATTGGAGGAGCACAAAGATAGGTCTTGCAAACATTGACATGACTGGAACAAATGGAGAACTGAACTCCAACCCAGCGCAGGACTACTGATATGCAACAAGGTAAGAGATGACCAAGTGTGCAGCAGTTTATCAAAACAGGTTTCACTGATAAGGGAATCTGCATCTAGAATCAATCGCTCAAGTTTGGGACAGCGTTGACACACAGTACCCACAAAATCATCTGTGATGGACGGTGGTAAGGTCCGGCTACTGGGAGTGGAGTGTACAGCAGTGCTGCAGCCAGTCGTATGTAAGTCCAAAGTTACCAAGTTACCGGGCAGGTGATGCACAAGGTTCTGTAAATTGCTACTGATTAGAGGAGGATCTGATGCGATTGTCAAATGTTGCAACCGTGTCAATTTGGAAAACATGCCTTGAATGTCATCACCAGTTAGCTGCTTCAAACTGACCACACAAGCTTACATCAATTTAAGACAGAAGGACGTAATTAAAACACAACTGAAACCTCATTTGCATGTAAATAATAATACCAACCCATATTTACAAGTGCCTTCAAATTTAACACACCATGGGTTCCTGCTTAGCATTATGCAAGACTACCTGGGCCAGCCATCAGGTGCAAAAATCAGTAAAATGAAAGCTCACCCCCGTAATTCAATCGACTCAATAGTGGACGCATGCTTCTTCGCCAACTCCATAAGCTGCAAATCTGTCTACAAAGAAAGAACAATTTTGAGATGATTTGTCAACTTCCGGAGTAAGACTGTTCATGATCGCCTCCATTTTAAACAGAGATAAACACCATTCACATATAACAGCAAGGATGCGAGAATGACTTCTAATGAGAGTAATAAAATAATAGTCCACAATCCACACTTTTATGCACATTAACATATTACACCTACAAATACCACAAGTTAGTGAATCTGAGGCAGGAGAACATACAGAGAAAAAGCTCTTTGACTCACCACGGAACCCCAGGGCTTGTCACGGACGCTGAAGAGTGGAGGCGTCAAGTCATGCACCTGCAACTCCAAGATTCAGTTATTTTCAGAATAACAACACAATCCTGAAAATTGTCATCCTACTATAACCCAGATAAAAACGAGCAGAATGATTCTGATTCCAACCCGTGGAAGGTAAGAAGATTAATTACTCACATCACAGTCATAACTATGCAAAGATTGTAACGAGCCATATGCAGCAACCACTTGCCTCCTCGAAGAAATGGAAACCTAACCCGAAGGATGCTCAAAATTTGCAAATCCTTGTCTGAGAAAGGGGAGGTGAATTCAAATGCACGTACCAAATTTTCCTGACAAAGACGTCTCCAACGTCGGCAAACGAGCGACACCACGCTGAGAAGCACCCGAGACTGAATTCGTTGCAGAATATTTAGCAGCGTGTCATCGCCCAGAGAATTGGTTATGGCCGTGTCCTCTCCAATTTCCTCCCCCTTGGGTCCAGCCATAACTCCCAACTCATTCCGCCCTTTCCGTCTTTTCTTCGGACGCAATGTGCTCATTTCCCGCTAGTGGAATCAATACGACCGAAACTGCTAACAAACTGCCGCCTATGTCACAAACCTCGGAGGTTCATCACCAATAGCTCTGACACCGTCTCGACAACATAACATGCACAGAACTATGCTTCAACGCCCACTTCCTCAATCACACCCACACCACTCTCCCTCACAATAAAACACAATCATACTACCAAAATCAGCTTTGATTCTTTCCCACAAACTCAAACCACAAGTCAATTGCACTACTCGTCACCATCCATACAAATTTATTTATTTTCCTAAAAACCTCCATAACGTCAACGTCACCCACAAATTGCCAAAACATGAACTTGTCAGCCCTCACTCGAGCACATCACACAACATGAAGCCGAATTCAGATCCAGCACCCCCATCCTGGGGATTCGACACACACACAAGCTCTAAGTCACTTACCAAAGGCCAACTCGGCAGAACCTGAAGATCTAGGGGACGTCACAACACTGTTACCAATTCCCTGAAAACGGCCATACACCTCTCAACTCAAAGCTCCAAGCCATCGACCCACGAGTTGGGTTGCGGTGAATCTACTCGCAAGTCCCGCACAACCCTCCGACTGCAAAAAAAAAAGAAAAAGAAAAAGAAAAGAAAGAAAACGAAAACGAAAAAACAAAAACAAAAAAAAAGGGGGAAGAGAAAGAGAAGGCAAAAAAGGCAGAATGACGTGCCGGAATGCATTCGCGTGGGATGAGTGGCGCGGCGCGTAAGCAAAGGAAGTGGATGCAACCGCAGGCCACCTCACAAGACCCTGTCCGCCCTGCTCAGCTGCTCCTTTTGGTCCTTCTCACTTGTCAATTCAATTGTGGTTTTCTCCATGTCCATGTTTATGTCCGCGTCGTCCACGATTTTACCGCGAGGGTATCAGCAGCAGCGCAGCATCCATGACTCCAGCACTCTTTGGCTTGGCTTTGGCTTGGCTGGATTAGAATGACGATTAGAAAGAAGGAAATGGGAATCGGCGAGAATCAAGGGATGGATCAGTGAGGAAGAAGAAGGATGTGAAGAAATAGGAGATGAAGCTGGGCCATGAAACTGTTGAGAATGTTTAGAAAAAACACAAGAGTAATAGTAAGTCATACACACACACAAGTAGTAGTAAGTCATACACACAAGGGTTTCTAAGGAGAGAGAGCTTCAGACATACAAAAATCTATTGATCTCGTTGTGTCTAGTATACAAGAAGAGAGAAGATAAGAGGATGAAGGAAAAATTGTAGCCATAGTAATTATTGTAGTCTACAGTAAATATTATGGAGAGCGTCGGCTACATTTAATGATCTCAACACTCCTCCTCGCTCATCATAATATTTATATAATATAAAATTTATATAGATTTATGATCTATACTTTTCTGTGATCTTGTAAGATCAAGAATTGTTGCCTCATTAAAACCTTATCTAGGAAAATCTTATTTTATTTAAGGATAAAACCATAGATGAAGGAAAAAGAGTACAACATCATTTTCTTTAATTATTTAAAGAGCTTATTAACTTTCTTATTCAAGAAAAGCAAGTCGCCGCATACTAATGCCATAAGTAAGTCGACGATGATTGCTTAATGGGAGAGCTTTGGTGAAGAGATCAGCAAGGTTATTTGTAGATTCAATTTTCTTAATTATAAGTGCTTGATAAGTAATCAAGTCATGAGTATAACTAAAATACTTTGGATCAATATGCTTTGTCTTGTCACCTTTAATGAAACCAACTTGCATCTGTGCAATATAAGCACTATTATCTTCATGCAAGATAGTTGAAGAATCATCATATGAAAATCCATAGGTTGTTTGAATGAATTTATTAATTGATCGCAACCAAATACATTCTCGGGATGCTTCATAGTTATAGTTAGACACTAAGCAAAGGTAGCAAAAAGCAACAGATGAGTTGTAGCGAAATGAGAGAGAAGAGAGGAGATGAGAGGTGAAGCTTTGGGCAATGCTTTGAGGGAGCGAGAGAGAGAGTGAGGGGCTTCATGGTTTCTGTTGAGATCATTAAATGTAGCCGACACTCTCCATAATATTTACTGTACACTACAATAATTACTATAGCTACAATATTTAGAGTCTAGTGGAGAAGTACTGTTCATCATCTTGTCTTCTCTCTTCTTGTATACAAGACACAACCAGATCAATAGATTTTTGTGTGTGTAAAGCTCTCTCTCTTTAGAAACCCTTGTGTGTGTATGACTTACTACTACTCGTGTGTGTGTGTATGACTTACTATTACTCTTGTGTTTTTTCTAAACATTCTCAACACGTTATATGATTCCCTTTTACATACTATCACAATTTTTTTTGCTCTAGTCTTTGACTCTTCAAACATGTTGCTACCTTTGCTTAGTGTCTGGGTCATGATCTTGTTCTTCTTGCTGGCTCCTCACACATTAGCTGCTTGCTTAGAGCACTTTTTCCACTCTCTGCCTTGCTTGCTCTGAATACTTGATCCAGCCCTACTCCACCCTCTGCTTGCTCCCTGCTCCCTGCTGCGCCCCGAACTGCCGTCGAACAGACGCCGAACTGCCGTCGAATCCGCCGCTGCCACCCTGTCGCCGCTGTCCGCTGCCGCCCGCCGCCGTCGTCGCCCTAACGCCGCTGCCGCCGCCGTCGCCGCTGTCCGCTGCTGCCCGCCGCTGCCGCCCACCATTGCCAGCCACTGTTGTCCGCCGTTGCCCGCCGCCGCCCGCCGCTGCTGTCCGCCGCTGCCACCCTGCCGCCCTACCGCTACCTGCTGCCGCCATTTTATTGCTGCCTTAATCTACAACTCTTTCTCTTTAAAATATATATATATTTTAGTTTTTTTCAAGTTCAAGTTTATCATTTTATTTGACTTTATATTTTAAGATACGTTTTACTCAACTTTTCTACTTGATCTTGTATTTTCTTTATAGATTTATTTATAATGAATGCTTCAACATCTTCAACTGCTTCTACTATGGTTCCTACTATTATCAGTGCATCCCAACATTTTCAAGCTCTTTTATTTCCACCATTGACTGTGGATGGAAACAATTATCTATTATGGGCAAAAATGGCAAAAGCAAATTTATTTGTAGAACAACTCTCGGATGTCATTATGTTTGAAGAATCTCCTACAACAAGTATTTCTATATCTCCTGCTATTCATTGGAAAGCACTTCTTCTCCTTCGTCGTCATCTTGTACCTGCATTACAACATCAATATTTGGAAATGGAAGACCCTACAAAACTTTGGAAGAATCTTAAATCTAGATTTGATCATCAAAAGACCATTTTTCTTCCACGTGCACGTCATAATTGGACACATTTACGTGTCTTGGATTTTCCACATTTAAATGCTTTTAATAGTGAAATGTATAGTATTGTCTCATAATTACGATTATGTACACAAAGCATTTCTGAAGAGGAAATGATTGAGAAAACTCTCTCTACATTTCCTCATACATCTATTGTGCTTGCACAACAATACAGGAACATGAAATTTCAGAGTCATTCTGATCTCATGTCCTATCTACTTCTTGCGGAGAAGCAAAATGAACTACTTTTGCACAATGCAGAAGCTCGTCCTATTGGAACTACAGTTCCTGAATCTCATGCACTTAATATTTCAAAGTCTAAGAAGAAATTATATAAACATGGAAAACATGCTCATAAGTATCAAGGTAGTCATAGTCAAGACCATTTCTATCCATATGGAAAGAATAAACGTTCTACTATTAATTATAGTAGAAAACAAAAATCAGAGATGCGTTCTTACCATAAGTGTGGAATGATTGGACATTTAGCACATGCGTGCCGTACTTCAGAATATTTTATTAAAATGTTTCAAGAAAATAAGAAATTACGAGCTAAGGCTCGTGAAGTTCATACCATGGATGCGTCCATGGATTCAATTGGTGTTGATGACTTAGAGGCTTACATGACTGATAGAACCTCTAATGATGAATCAAATGATGCGCTCATTGATTCTGCAATAATACATACTATCTTGGAAGATAGATAATTTTTTATTGAAAAATCTTCAACTTGGCAAACTAAAAATATGATGACCATGACTGGAGCAAATGCGTTTTGTTTCCAAGAGGGCACAGCGATGGTAAAATTACCTACAGGTTCCATCATAAAATGTAATCGACCACGACCACGACAACGACTCGCAAATCCGACCCAATTCGCAAATATCACTCTCCTCGCAGGGAAATCCCCACAAAATTAGAAAGCAGAAACCCACCACACCACACCCAATTCCCTCCTCCTCCTCCTCCTCAGATGAGCAAACAAATTGATGGACTGGTGGGTGGATCTGGTCTTAATCAATCAAGCTAGCCCTGGCACAGACGCAGAATCAGAAGCAGAGTAGTCCTCAATAATAAAGCCAACCAACATTGAAGGAGGAAGGAGGAAGAGGAAGTGGTCTCCGTCGTCGACATCGCTGCTGCTGCTGCTGCAGCTGCCTAAAGTTTGTCGCCCAAGACGAAGTATAAATATATTTCATGCATGCACGCACGCTGTCTGGTTTTTTCCTTCTCTTTCTCATCAGTGCTTTTTTAAGGTTTTATTTGTTAAAACTTTTCTTACATATTGGAGTGTGTTTTGTGGGGTTGTTTTTTTCGTAATTTCTTCGAGGATCGCTTTTTGCTGGCGACAATGAGTGAGTCTTGCTGTGATGACAGCATTGACTGCTTCTCATAAAGACGTAGGCCGATATAGACGGGATCGTTGTAATTGCGTTCATCGTCCTGGTGCGGTGACGTCCGAAGGTCTCCGTTGGGTTGCATGCTTCACTTGCACACCCCCCCCCCCCCACTCCCCACACGCGTGAGAGCAGCAGCGCCACGGCCCCACTTTCTGAGCTTCCTTCGGGTTTGTGGAGCTTGCTGATGCTGTTGCTGGTGGTGTCCTCGAGCAAGTATAGTGAACGATAAGGTAATGGGCTTTGCGGGTGCTTCTGTTATCTGTACTCGGGTACGGATTTAGAGGTTTTCTATGCTACGTTTTCGAGGCGGGTTAATCGAAATTGGGTTTGGGCAGCGAGTTTGTGCTGCAACAGGAGCCTTCGGTTTCGTTTTCCGTCTCTTGGAGTAGGTGGATTGGTTTTACCATGGGAGAGTGTGCGCTTGTCATGAAGTTGTGAGCGAGAAACGCGTGTTTGAATTGATCAACGGGGTACGGTAGGGGTCCATTCCTGTGGCTCCTAGCTCCTTCCAGTGTTTTGTGGAAGCAGAGTAGGAAAGCAATCGCAGCTTATCAAGTTTCTATGAAGCGAGGGTTAGTGTTCGTGGGACAGTGTTTCGATCATCCCTTGTACAAATGTGAGGATCCTTGTCCTGCAGTAATAATACGCGGACAGACGCAGTCTTATGGTTACAGCACAGGTCATTTGTAATTTTTGTTTTGACTTCGAGCGTATGTCTTTGAAGAGCTCTTGCGATCTGTGAATTTAAACCCTCAGTATTGTGACGCAGTATTTAAGACACAAACAGGTTAATATTTTCCTCTTCATCCTTTAGTCTTAGCAGTGTGTACTCAAGTTGGTAACGTAGCGATTGGACCTGCGAAAGGATTCTTCTGAAGGTTGTAAAGACAGTTACATGTTAGAATTATGATTATCTTCTATCTTGGAGGCACTTTTGATGTCGATTATATAATCACCAATTGCTTCCTGGAATTCGGCCACACGGTGTGTGCGCTCGTTGGGAAGAGTGTGGAATTGTGAGGTGATTTCACAGTTTTCGAGAGCACATTTTGTAGTAGGCATGAGTGAAGTCGAGGATGGCCGGGACGGTCGCTGATTTCTGTCTCCCATATTGATGAAGAGATTTGACTTAGTCGTGATCGGGTTTCCTTACGAATTCGAACACTTGAAGTTATTATATGGCATAGTCGAATCTCGAATTTGTAGTCCTTGGGTGCTCGGATTGCGCTTAGTCGTGCTCCGGGTAGCAAATTTGTTGGAAGTTTGATAAACGTCCGGTACTTCTGGGGGCTTGAAGAAGGCAGCGTGGGAGTGTAAAGCTATAGATGTATCTGCAGTCTAATTCTTTAATCTGCCGTTTTCATTCGAGCCTACGATTGCCGTAATCATCATGCTCGTATGCATTTGTAGAGCTTTTTCCTAAATTTTTATTGATTCAAGTTTGATGTGCAGCTATTAGCTATTAGCTATTAGTGTTGAGAACAAGTATTACACAAAATGGGTAGTCGGAGAGAAGATGAGAAAAATGAAGCCACCATCCGACGTTTGCTCAAGATCCCGGAGAACAAAAGGTGTATCAATTGCAACAGTTTGGTCAGTTGCTCTTCCTCAACGTTTTGTTGGCTGAATCGTCAAATTTGAATATTTTTATTAATTATCTTCTTTTTTTTGGGGGGGGGGGTTGATATCACATGTTTAGCTCCTGTTAATTTGAAGAGCTGATTAAGATGAGAATGTCAGTTGGTGCAGCCAAAAATAAAACCTAATTTTATTTCTGTTTACCATAATTTTTTCAGAAAGTATTTTTTTGGCAAACAGTTTAAACGCAGTTAGTAATGCTACTCATTTAAGTTTATAACCATGTACCATCTTCTTGAATTTAGTCAAAAAAATTCTGTTCATTTTTTTCCTTCACTAATTTTGCAGGGTCCTCAATATGTATGCACAACTTTTGCTACCTTCGTCTGCACACAATGTAGTGGTATCCAGTAAGTTTTTAATTCCAGACTATTGTTTCGTGCATCTAATCTCTGATAGAGTGCAAAGTCAGAGCACCTTGCTTTAGTTCAAGTTTTCAAACAGGGTTCTGTGTCCTCTCTACATTCTCCATGTTGGTTGCATCAAATCACTTCATCGTAGTGTGCACTTGTTCAATAGGGTTGAATTCAGGAATGAAACATTGATGGCTTAAAGTGTACAGCAGTGTTGGCCATAGCTACCTGTTGAAATAGGAAGACGTTTGTGCCTTTTTTGTTCAAGACTAGTCTATTCACACATGGATCTTTAGAGTCACTGATCTGGTGTGGTAGTTGAGCATTTGTTTGATGTTAAACGATATGACACTTGAGGAAGCAGCAGATGACTAACATTTGGAAGTGAGTCATTGCCAAAATGATTCGACTGAGAATGCTCTGGTATGTACAGTCGAGAATTTTCACATCGTATAAAGTCAATTTCTATGGCAAAGTTTACTGCAGCAGAAGTTGCCGCTCTGCAAGCTGGTGGTAATGAGGTAAAATCCAAGAGGAGAATTGTAGCAGTTCAAGTATTTTTACTATTTCATGTTGAATTGTCATTGAGTTCAATGGGGAAGTAGGAGTTTGTATGTAGAAGTTCTAAACTTGCTTGCTCTAAGTGTACTGGTTCTTACCTTCAAATGATACTTGATTATTTATTTATTTATTTATATTTTTATGAAAAGAATTCCGCATTCAATGAGTGCTTCATTAATACTCTTTTTGATATTTCTTTTGGATCCCTTGACAGCGAGCTAAGAAAACTTTCTTTCGGAGTATGGATCCAGATCGGATGTATCATTCTGATAGTGGGCAAGTCTTACCAGTCTTGGTTTCGTTTTCGTTTTCGTTTTCGATTTAATTTATTATTATTATTATTATTATTATTTTGCAGCATAAGCGATGCACAGCCATGTATTGTATTATGGCAATCTTGTCAGAAGATTTCTTAGCTGATCAAATTTTGTTATTTCAGGAGCCTAGATAAGCTGCGGGATTTCATCAATCGAGTATACGAGAAGAGGCTTTACACAGGGGATAGGCCTCGTACTGTTCAGCAGGTTACTTTTTTAAACATGCAATTTCAGTCGTGACACACAAATCTTATGTGGCTAGAAGTCAAACCTGTCCTAAAATGCAGAAACTGAATATAGACAGGATTTTAGTGTGTTCCAATTTGCTCAGTTGGTAGAAAGCAATTTAAAATTTTATTGAGTGTTACATCGATTAATCACCGTGTTGAAAAGTGAAAGTTTCTGCGACATTAAATTTAGCTACGTCTTGATAGGAGGTAACTGCTGTGGAACTGCGCCGGCCTGATATAAAGGTGGAACGGCAACCTGATTTTCGAAGCCTTTCTTTGGATGACCATGTGGCTTCCAAGGAGTCAGTCAATAGACTGAAACCAGACACCATTCGAAATTCTGTTGATAATAGGATCAGTCCCAAGTATGTAGGTAGTCCTCAAGCAGTTCCACGGCCAACTCGTCTCAGTTATGATGAGAATGAAGAAAAGTCTCCCAAAAGTAACGGTAGTCGAGACAGGCGCAACTCGTCTCGACCATTCAGCTTAAGAGATTTTGACATAACACCTCCTCCTGCTCAGTCTATTACAGACATTCTTGGAGACATTCCAGGATTACGAATTGAAGTTTATAAAGTTCCCAAAGGGGAGCACCCACCCGATCATTCCAAGGGAGCTGCAGTAAGTATTCTGCCTAGGTTAGAAACAGTGATCGATAATATTACTTTCATATTTTGATGTCATGAAGAACCGTAATCAGCCCTCAGATGCCTTGTGGATAAATCAAATTCCTACTTTGTCAATATTGAGAATTCACTTTCCTTACGTGTTTCTTATAGATCAAGTGTGCGCCAATATTTCAAACCACTGGTATGAGGAAGTGTGCTGGTTGTGCTGCGAGTAATAACAATCGATTGTTTCTTTCGCGTTTCAGGTTGATGCGCGCAACGCAATGCAGTCTCAGAGTTTTAGAGCTGTAGGAAATGATACGGTGACTCCAGCTCCGGATCAAAAAAGAGTAATCTCAGCTAGCTTAATAGACATGAATGGAGAAACTGAAGCAACACCAGTTTCACGTGGAATAGATGACCCGTTTGTAGAAACCTCTCAGGTTTCACCGTCGACCAGTGACAGTTGGGCCATGTTCAACACATCCTCCTCCTCGCCAGCACGACCTGGTTATCCCGCCTCTAAAAGTGAGATTAGTCAATCAGTTGACCCTGGATGGGGTCAACAGTCGAGCAGCTTGGATTCTTGGTCTAGCTTCGGAACACCAAGTCCACAGGTAAGAAACTCTAACAAGATACCTGTGTAGGGAACTATTGCACGGTTTGACCGGCTCGCTGTTGCTTTGTACTTGAGAGGGATTGTACCAAAGATCGCCCGACACTTCGAATTGTTAAATGCGGTTCTGAAGGTTCCACTTATGTCTTTCATTTTGGTCTTACTGGCAGGCGGCCTCTAATCAGGAACATTTTACCGCGACACCCTTAAGTGTATCTCAAAACATATCAGGTGTTGTGCAACCTCAAAGGCAGAGACGCGAGCTTCCTAAAGTACTGCTTCGTTTATGCACTCCCTGCACAATTCAACAGTTTTTCTACATTTGCTTTGGCTGCCCCTGGAATGTCTTCACTCTTTTCTTTCTTTGCAGCATGTTTTGCGAATGAAAGAAATACTTCTGTCAAGACGCTTTTGTTACTTCTATATCCTATCCTGATCGTCTAACAGACGGCTCCTATTGCTTTTTAACAGGATTGTGTTTTCTATAAGGCATTATTTCAGGAGAATTGTATGTCAATGTTGTCGACATTTACTTTGTTCGGTGTAATCAGTTTTGTACGTAAGATGTACATAAAGGTTTCAGGAGCTAATAAAGAGATTGTTTTTATGTCAAGCAGGATTTTTTTGCGCCTTCGTTTGAAGATGTTCGTCAGATCAACTTGGATATGCATAGACCCCATCAGATGCAGCCTGCATTCCGTCCCCCGCAATTAGATGCTCCCTTCGAGTCTTTTTACAATATGGTATATTCTTCTAATGCACGTGTTTTTTCTTTGGTGTTCTTTTTACAAACTCGACGGCGCTGATGGTATCCTTGAGTTCATGTAGTGCGTTGATTTTTTTTCAATCTCAATTTTATTCTTGGTCAGTCGGTTGCAGAAAAACACACCGAATTTGTGAAATACTGATGACAACTCCTTTGTGCTATTCGTAGTAGCATAGAATGTTGCTTCTTTTTGCTTGCTGATGTATGCTTGACAAATTTTTCGTTTCAATAGGTGCTTATGTGAATTTATAGGATAGCACTTAGTTTTGTGTGCTTTTTCTTCCTGAAAATCTTAACTTAAATACCAGACCGGCTAGTCGGTTTCCTAGCTTTAACATATTTGCTCTATGTTTAACAGCCTCCTTCAACATCATTTCAAACCCAAGATCTGACTCAATTTCAGTTTTCACCCCAAATGCAACCGCAACCAGTAGAGTCATCTCAGCAGATGCAATCGCAGCTACCAACTTTCACACAAAGGTCTCGAAATCCATTTGATGACGATTTTGAGGACAACTCTTCAAGTGTGATCTCGAGTGCCACTACTGGTTTTAGCATGCAGGTACGACCGACACACGCGCAGACACACCCACACATATAGATATAGATGTTATCTTTTTGTTGTTGTAGGGTTAATCTTTTAGTGTCAGCAACACTCTCAATGTAATCAATGTACTTGAGGATTATATGGCAGCTCGAAGGTCGAAGCTGATGAAGAGCAACCTCATGTCTTGGCACTGGAAAAAGGTGTGTCATTGACCTCTATGTCTTTACTAAGAGGTTGGGTGTTGCATTCACCTGTTATAACAGTTTCCAAACATGGATTCACTGCGAGAAGCGCTATCCCCAGCAATGTCTATGAGTAGTGGGGTTTCTACTACGGGTGCTGTTCCACAGAACTTACCTACCAATGTGGCTTCAAATGAATTTGGACATTCCTTCACACAGCTTCATAATAATTTTTCCCCTTCAGGGGCTTTCAACTTCAGCCCAAATCAGTCCATATCATCTTTCCAGATATCTCCCGAGTAAGTCATGCCACTTGATTGATATTTTCTCTACTCTTTATTATGTATTCTCTTTATCAATTGTGTTGAGCGCCATGGAGGTTGCACGTTTGAAGCTTGAGGGTAATTGTTCGAACTCGATCATTCTGATCTATTTCTGCAACTCATGTTTTGCAGGCAGCCTAATGTTTCTGGAGGGTACGCGTCCACGCACATCTCTGGTCAGGAGGGTCCCTATTCCAGCAACCAATTTTACTCGCAAAACATCGTTCGTCCGGCTGGTGGCGGTAATCCCTTTGGTTAATATACCAGCCTTTCGTTGTGGGTGTCAATGATCCCTCGGCATTCGACTCCTCGTCAAAGCGAAGGAGCATAGTCAAACACTTTGTGCTCCTTTTTCACGCATCTTAGAATTAAAAGTACTGGAGCTGTATTCGATCAGCAGTAGATGAAGGCTTGTATTTTTCTGGAGACTGTTTTCTCTTTTTATTGTTAAAGCTGGACAGTTCTCAACGTCGATGAAAGGTTTAAATATAGATATGACAGGGATGACCCATCTGAAGATGGTATGCGTTGTAGGCGACACTTGATTGCTTATTCTCTAAGATGACACGTGTCTCTGTGAGATATAATGTATTTGAGGATGAGCTGCCTCGTCAGCCTGATGATTGTTTATAATTTAGAAAAAAAATCAAACATCCGCTGCAAATATGGTACGCAAATTTCATCATTACTAGAATACAAGTTGTCTTTCTATCCACATGATTATATCAAGGTTTTACAAGTTTGAGAATTCTTGATTTTTGGTGTTACAAGCATTTCTTTATAAATATATGAATATCTATGCACAACATCCTCATGATATTTTGGCCACTAAATGTTGTTACATTTTGTATTATGTCCTATTAATCATAGATACAATACAATTTTATGGGAGTTCTAAATTTAGAACTCCCATAAAATTGCAAAAAAGAAGATATCTTTTTAGTTTCTTCTTGACTAGGACAAGGCTCTTATAGCAAAGTGTATGTCTTATTTGGTGCATGTTTGGAGCATTTTATATTTAGTATATTCTACAACTTGAAAGAATAACAAATTTATTTACATTTTTAAATTTTTTAGAAAAGCAAACTAATTGTGGGTTTAGATGTAGATGCATATGTGTTTCCATTTCTCTACATCTTTACAAGTTCATGCTTATTTTATCAATATTAAATTCTTCTATTATATTAGTTTTTATTTCTAATAAATTTATTTATTTTATTTTATTATATTAAAACATTAACTTTTATCAAGAAATAGAATCAATAATTGTACTAACAAATCAAATATTATTCTTATACACAAAGTATCAAAAGAATACAAGTCTTTCAAATATAATAATTTCTTATGAATCCTAACTCCTAAAAGTGTCTCTCTATATATATACACACATATAGCAATAAAACTTGTATTTTTTAATTGTACTTGTTAGATAAAATTTTAATTGACAAAAGAATGTTAATATTTTATTGTTTGGTCAAACAAAACATTTTAATTTGCTTATAATTAATAGATACTTAAATTCTTTAATAAAAAGTGGCATATCTATTTAATAAAATATATCATATTATTGGTGATCCAAGCACCTCTTTAAAAAATTACTTGTAAAAAGATAAAATGATGTAAAAAAAAAACACACCAAAGACATTACCAAGTTTTTGAATGTTTGTCATTGATCATACTATTAGAAAAAAAATCACTCATTTATTATTAAATTATTTTTTAAGGACATAAATATTATCACATTTAAATTAAAATTTAATAAGAATGTAATTTTAATAACAATAAACTTTCCAACCACTTGTTACAATTGTTTTTAAAATTATGTTTTGTGTTGGAATAAACACTATTTATATCAATATGTGTCAAAACTACACAAATAAAAGATATACAAAACAGTAATACTATATTTAGAAGTATTGGTACAAATGTAAAATGCAGAAAATGTTCATGATTATCTTTCCAGTATTCAAAAATTTTAAAAAACATATTTATTATGTAGTATTTCTGTTTACAATTTTAAAGTTGCACCAATTTTTAATTACTTGCAGTCATAATTTTTTTTTAAATCCGTTGTTGTATTAACATATTTTTAATCATATACTATACTATACTACACATACATACATACACACAAAAATAAATAAATACAGTTTTTTTTGTATTGAGATCATAATATTAATAAGCAATTAAACGCTATAAAAGCACCACATGTCTAACAACTGTTCATCACGACTACAAAACCTGACAAAACAAACGAATGTGACAAAAAAGGACAAAATGCAAAGCCACCATAAAGACAACCCCGGACTTCACCCAATCATGTAGTTGTATTTTCAATCCACAGATGTGCTTCTCTAAAGAGTCAAGCTCAAGAGACCGAACAAAAATTCCCTTAACAGTACAGGTGGCCCAATTCCCTTCCAATGCATTGATCATTTGACACTTTCGAATTTCCTAAATTGAGGATCTAAAAACAAATTCCTTCACACACCTTTGGCAATAATCATTTCTAAAATAATGAAATATGAAAATTCTTCACAGAATATACTTTAGTACTCCAATTATTTTGAACAATGATCCTCTCTTACCAGTAGCTTTTTTCGGCATTTTCTTGTATCCAGTTTCCTCCTTGGACACTTTCTCAAAACAAAATAATGGACAGATTAGAGATAACCAGAAAATTGTGCTTAATCTGCACAGACACGGCTTTGAAGCAGTGATGTAGGCGGTCTGTCAAAGCCAATGGACACTCCAGTTAAACAATATTCTCGCAATCTAGGCACTTCTGGATGTTTGCCGATCTGCAAATTGACCGCTTCCCGTGTTTGAGGTACAGACGAGCACGACAGTAATCAGAAATGTATGAGGTACAATTTGACACTGCAGACAAGGTGAACTGGAATGCAGTATATTCCAACCAAACTGGATTCATGGATAGAAAATCACGAGGACAGCATTACAATTCAATCGACAGCAGACGGGCACCTGGTGAAAATTATTTATGTCACATTTTTACTGCTAAATGGACATGCTTTAGGAATCTAAACTATGCAAAGATGTATGCTAATAGAAGCCCACTCGTCGGAACCCAGGATGGGTCTGCTTCCAAGTGGGTGAGGAGGCCGTGTCCACTACGAAAAATCATGTTTATGTTGTCACTCCATAGCCACTGTGGCGATAGCTACCAAGTGAACTCATCTGTTCCTCTGTCAAGACTAGTCAGAGAGAAGGAAGTCGCCTACATGTTGCAAGCTCAAACCGCATAACGCAACAAAAGCTGTCGGTTGTTGCAATGTAACACGCTTGGTTGCTCCAGAAAAATAGGAATCCCCCTCTGCATACAAACGTCGACTGCTAGGTTAGACTACACTGAAACTCTCGACACTTAGCGACTCTATCAACGGGCGAGGACCACTGCTCTCGTTCATCATTTAGGCCATCACTTCCTTCGCCTTCGCCACCACGTTGTCGACGGTAATTCCGAACTCCTTGTACAGAATGTTGGCTGGGGCACTGGCACCAAAGTGGTCCACTCCGATCGCCCTGCCCTCCAGGCCGACGAACCTCTCCCAACCGAACGTGGCGCCGGCCTCCACCGACACACGGGCCGTCACATCAGAGGGCAACAAAGATTCCTTGTATTCCGCGCTCTGCTCCTCGAACAACTCCCAGCAAACGAACGAGATCACCCTCACGGTCTTGCCCTCGCCCCTGATCACGTCCGCGGCCTTCGCGGCGATCTCCAGCTCCGAACCCGAAGCCATCAGGATCAGGTCGGGTTTGTTGTCCTTGGAATCATCCGAGATCGCGTATGCGCCGAGCTGGACATTGTCGATGGAGGTTCCGGGCAAGTTGGGCAGTTTCTGTCGCGACAAAGCCAAGGTCGATGGTCTCTTCCTGTTCAGCACTGCCACCTTGTAAGCTCCCGAGGTCTCGTTTCCGTCCGCAGGCCTCAGCATCAACATGTTGGGCATGGCCCTAAAGCTGGCCAAATGCTCAATGGGCTGATGGGTGGGACCATCCTCTCCCAAACCAATCGAGTCGTGGGTCATCACGTAGATCACACCAGCCTCGGCCAAGGCGGAAATCCTCATCGCCGCCCTCAAGTAGTCAGTGAAAATGAAGAATGTGGCGCAGTACGGGATCAGACCACTCAAGTGCTGCAGCATTCCGTTACAAATAGCTCCCATAGCGTGCTCCCTCACTCCAAACCTCACGTTGCGCTCAGCAGGGGTGCTTTTCTGGAAATCTCCGAACATCTTCATCAGAGTCATGTTCGACGACGCCAAATCGGCACTGCCACCGATAAGTCCTGGAAGAGTCCTAGCCAAGGCGTTCAAACACCTCTGGGACAAGTTGCGGGTGGCGTCACCAGCGTCCTCGGGAGTGAACGACTGCATCATACCCACAAATTCCATCACTCCCTCGATAAAATACCATCGACAGCCTATTCCGACACCAATTACAATTCCACTTCCACTCACATTACACAGACACGTAATCGCAAACCTACCCATTATCGCAAATGACAGACTTTAACAGACCACAACTGTTGAAATCTCGCACCACCAAGAAGTCTGATTTACTTACAGGAAGAGCCTTGTCCCAGCCATCGGGCAATTCACCGCTGATCAACTGCTTGAACTCGGCACCCTCCTCAGGGTACTTCTGTGCGTACTCCTCCACAGCAGCTTCCCACTCGCTCTGGTACTTGGTTCCCAGGTCAGTGTGCTTGCTCCAGTGGCTGCCACAGAGAAAAACATGCAAAGACATGTGAGACACCCTGCGTGCATTGACACTAATGCTACATCTTTGACACATTGCCAAATCTGCACGAGAAACTAACTGCAATAGAACTATAATCCACGACTTCATATCACACACTAGAACAGCCCACCCCCTACAGTCATCGTCCACAGAGCCACATTACAACCACGTGCTCGGGAAAAACACCCGCAATTGTACTCACCTCTTGACCTCGTCGGGCACGTGGAAGGGCTCATATGGCCATCCCAGGTTCTGCCGAGTCGCCTCCACCTCCTTGCCTCCCAACGCTGCACCGTGCACAGCATACGAGTTCGCCTTATTCGGCGACCCGAAACCGATGGTGGTCGTCACCTTAATCATCGTTGGCTTGTCTGTCACGGACTTGGCCTCTTCAATTGCGGCACGGATCTCGTCGTAGCCGGTGTTGCCGTTTTTCACCCAGATCGTGTGCCATCCCAGGGCCTCAAAGCGAGCGTCCACGTTCTCCGTGAAAGCGATCTCGGTGTCTCCGTCGATCGAGATATGGTTGTCGTCGTACAAACAGATCAACTTGCCAAGCCCCCAGTGACCCGCCAGCGAAGCCGCCTCGTTGGAGATGCCCTCCATGTTGCAACCATCTCCCACAATACAGTAACTGCATTGAGAAAACAATCCACATTGATCATCGTACAATTCAGCAACCCTCTTCAGCGCTGTAACACAAGTCAGCCTCTAACATTATCTGAGCGGAATTAGAGTAAGTTACGCCACAACAATCCAGGGAATACTCCAAATTATCCAGCCTTTCACACTAGTGCTAGCGCAGCCAGCAATGCAATGTGTCTCTTACGTGTAGTGGTCCACGATCTTGGCGTCAGGCTTGTTGAAACGGGCAGCCAAATGGGCTTCGGCCAAGGCCAAACCAACGGCGTTAGCGATACCCTGGCCGAGAGGACCGGTGGTCACCTCAATACCGGGGGTCTCAAAATTCTCGGGGTGCCCAGGGGTTCTGCTTCCCCACTGCCTAAACTGCTTCAAGTCCTCTTGCTGGGCACACAATACACGGCACCAACCAACACAGTTACCCACTGTCAAGAATAAATCTAATCGATTCGTAGCGACAGGAAGCCAATTACATATAGCCGTTTAAATACAATATTTCTAAGTCTAGTTCCATCAGAATTTCCGCCTTCTCACCTTCTGGGGCAGAGCTCCGATCCTAAGTTAAGATGACTGTAGCCTAAATAATACTAATTAACCGTCTCTCAGTAAACTATAAACAGCCAAGAATTCGGCACCGACGAGCTGATAGGTTCCCAGGTGTGTGCAATATCTTGTCCAAAAGGTGACACTCATGGAGTGACTGCACATGCGTACTAAAATCTAAAACACCCTTACGCCAGTTACAGTAGACTAATCAATTGTTACAATTCGGGCATCATACCTTAACGCTGTCGTACCCGGCGAGGTGGAGGAGAGCATACTGGAGCATGCATCCTGCAGGGCCAACACGGATTAACAGTCAAAGATAAATTCAAGAAAGGTGAGTTCCAATTGGATCCTTTCAGGTTTCACATGCGGTTGGCCAAAGTTCAAATTAAACAACGCTTAACATGTCAGAGCTCAGATCGCGGAAACAGCGAGTCAGACCGGAATTGCTTACCGTGGCCAGCAGACAATACGAATCGGTCCCTGTTGAACCAGTACGGGTTCTTCGGGTTATACTTCATCACCTCATCGTACAAAATGTGTCCCATGGGGGCACATCCCATTGGCAGACCAGGGTGACCCGAATTCGCCTTCTCCACAGCATCGATAGCCAAAAATCGGATGGTGTTCACCGACTTCTCCACCAAGGCGTCATCAGTCTTCTGGGCAATCTCCACAGCGGCGGTCGCGCGCACGGACACCTGCTTCCCCCTGCGCGCATTCCGAGCAGGCATGGCAGCGTCGCTGCTGACGCCCTTAGCAGAGATCCTCAATCCGGTAAACTTACTTATCCCCAACCCTTGCACAGATGCTACCAGGCGCTCAACCTGGGAAGCTCCGCGCACAGCAGCGGGCGCCACAGCGCCTGCCACCGCAGCCACATTACACCTCGCCGCAGCCATGATGTCCCTCCCTGTCCTCCGAAACTCACCCACCCACTCACTCACTCACTCAAGATGCGAAGCAAAGAAGAAGAAGAGAAAGGAATGGCGAGGAAGGGAACCGTGGAGCTGGTCCCTTGCAGGTGACGAAGGAAGGTGAGGGGAAGTAAGCACTGGAGAAGACAGGGTTAAAAGGGGCCTTCATAGCAGGCCAGGGTCACCGAGGGTGGTGCTGTTGATGCGAGCGAGGTGGCACCACCACCAGGAATTAGGAGTTGGTGTGGATGAATGTAATAATAAATGTAATAATGGATGGATGCCTGCGCCAGGGGGGTCGGGCCGTCGCGGCGTGGCATGTGCAGGGAAGGTGGGGTGGGGGTCGGGCTGGGCGGAGGAAAGTAGGGCACGGGAGGGGGTGTGGGAGGGGGGGGTGTAGGGTGAGGATAGGGCACCCTTTTTAGTGGCTTTTCTCTTTTTCTTTTAATGGGCTTAGGGGGCTCTGGGAACGAGTGGCTGGCTGGTGCTGTGCCCTCCCCCCCCCCCGCCCCCGCTTTTTTTGGTGCTGTCCCCTTCTCATCCCAGTGACAGGCCCTCCCTCCATCCATCGGAGCTCCTCCTCATGTTGGAGTGAGTCCGCCTGTGCCCGCGCCCCTTTTCCGTGTTGGAGCCTCTCCTCTCACTTGCCTTAGCGCGCGCACTCTCTCACTCTCTCTCTCTCCCTGTGTGTGTGTGTGGTTTCTCTACTCAGCTTCGCTTTGTTTGTCATATTCTGCTTTTTCTCGCTTTTGCCTTTCCATCTGTGTCTTTCCTCTTACCACTCAGTGCTTACTCCCTTTCTGCCTTCTAACTAACGAACAACTCCCTACTCACTTGTTGATGGATGGATGGATGGATGTTTGGATTGAGGATGAAAAATGGATTTTACATCAGACCCACAATCCAGAGAGATAAATGAGGGCCCAAACACGTCATCTTAGTGATCTGTTGTTATTTCTTCACACTAGTTGAAGTTTCAATCCAAAAATATTTTATCTGGATTATATATTTAGTTATTTAGGGTTTAGCACCTTGAAAGATAAACTTAGTTTAGTAACTACTAACAACATAAATTAAAAGAATGTAGGTAAACATTTATATGTACAAGGTTTCCTGGCTGCCATATTCTATTTTGTTGTATTTAAACTGATTGAATTTTGCATCTTCAAAAACTGAATTGAAGACATAAGTAACTTTTGTGGATAAATAACATGAAACTGTAATAAAATATTTCATGTTAACAGATTTATTTAAATAGTGATGTGTGTGAATATACAAGCTGAAATTATTTTTTGATCCATTATTACTTAAACTAATTTTTTAAATATATGTATTTACAATAAAAATTGTAAACTGAAATTCATGTTGTATTGTAAAATTTTATAAAAATATATATTAAAATAAAATTTACTTTATATATGTATAAGTATATGTTTTTTTAATAGTAGAAACAAAAAATCAGTATGCTAAAAACCTTACTCACAGGATTTTGAATTGAAAAAAAATATAGTAAAAGTGTTAATCATGTGGTATTTATTGTTATGCCAAAAATTAATCAATACAGCCTATTTTAGAAGTTGAGTAATTTCTTTTACAGGTTCTCTTAAGATAGCTAAAAATTAGTAATTTTCGGATTTTGGTTTTTGTTAAAGTAGAATATTCTTTATTGTAAAACATTTACCAATGGACAGGATTTTTATTAAATTGGGTTCAGTATGAAATGTCTTCTTACAGAGCATGACGTAAAAATTGAATTATTTAAACAAGTCATTATTTTCAAATTAAAAATTATTGTATATATATATATATTGTAAATAAAAAGTGTAGCATGTATATGTGTATATATATATATATATATACATGCTACACTTTTCTATTAAAGTAATGTAATGTAATATGATTCATCGTGGAGAAAACGTCGTGGAGAAAGAAGTCTTCTGCATCATCGAAGTCTCCCCCAACTTCGGCAAGAAAGCGGTCTTCGGATGAGGGGGAGAGGGAGGGGGTCTTGAGGTGTGTCTTGTGGGGATGGATCCAAGACTTCGTTGCAGAGCGAGAGCGAGAGCGAGCGACTCCTCCTCCTATGTCGCGAGCCTTTCTTCCTTTCTGGAGCGGGGATGGGCGGCGTTGCGATGGCACGGCACGGCATAGCGTGAGCGCCGAGTCAGAGCAGATGATCCAGATGATGATGGGGTCGTCGTCGACACTGGTCCTCCCCCGTCGTCTTTTTTCCAACGAGGGAGTTGGTCCCGTTTGAACCTTTCCCCAGTGCCGCCTTCTTTAGATTGTTGACCCCCAGAGTGCTGCTTGTTTTGACTCGTCGTCTGTCTCTGCGTCACGCATTCTGTGAGGAGAGGGTTGCGCTCGCTGTGAGTGCATTTGGGTGGGAGCCAGTTTGGTGTGGTCTCCGTTGAGATGAGGGCAGCAGCAGGCTGGATGTCAAACCCCGGTTGTTGTTGTTCTCGGGTCCCCCCCCCCCCCCTCTTTTTCCTTTTCTCTTTCCCTCTTGCCTTCTTTTTCTTTCCCCCCTTTCTTTTTTCCCTTATCCCTTCCCCTCCTACCCTTTCTCTCCTCTTCCTCCTTCTTCTCGTTTTTTTCCCTTCCCCCCCTTTCTTTTTTTCCCCCCCCTTGAGGGTTTTCTTGTGGGGATGGTTCCAAAATTTTTTTCCAGAGGGAGAGCGAGAGCGAGGGTTTCCTCCTTTTTTGTGGGGAGCTTTTCTTCTTTTTTGGAGCGGGGATGGGGGGCTTTCCAATGCCCCGCCCCGCCATAGGGTGAGCGCCGATTCAGAGCAGATGTTCCAAATGATAAGGGGGTTTTTTTCAACACTGGTCCTCCCCCTTTTTTTTTTTTCCAAGGGGGGAGTGGGTCCCTTTTAAACTTTTCCCCAGGGCCGCTTTTTTTAGTTTTTTGCCCCCCAGAGGGCGGCTTTTTTTGACTTGTGGTTTGTTTTTGGGCCACCCTTTTTTTGGGGAGAGGGTTGCCCCCCCTGGGGGGCCATTTGGGGGGGACCCATTTTGGGGTGTTTTCCTTTGAAATGGGGGCACCACCAGGCTGGTTTTCAAACCCCGGTTGTTTTTTTTTTGGGGTCCCCCCCCCCCCCCCCCCCCCCCCATCCCCTCCTTCCTGCTGCATTACATAGGTCACCTCTGGAACCGCAAACCGAGCCGGGGCTCCCCCTCACCTTGTGCTCTTCTGAATCCGTAACATTGTGTGTGATGCGAACGTGAAGAGTCTGGGAGCCTTGACCTTGTTCCCGGATTTGAAGTTGTTTTCAGAGTTGCACCCGTTTGCCTGAGATTGGGTGTTGAATGACGACAGACAAGGGATGTTGGAAGTTTCGCTTGCAAGTGCGGTATCCTGGGTCCCTAGAGCTCCATTGCTTCCAGCTCACTGGTCTCATTATTACTATTATTTTTATTATTCTTATTATCACTATTCACTAGCTGATATTTAATCCCACGCTTGTCAAATCTGGCGGCTTTATACTACTCATCAGCGTTGTGATCAAATGCAAATTGTACAACAAATCCTACGTTCAGATTAACCTTAAAAAGCGAAGTTTCAATGGATATGCCATTAGATCGAGAGGACGAATTCGCTTGATACTTTAGCTCGGAAGTCACGCTCACGAGATCATCCTGCAAACCCCAAAAGAATATGCGGGGCTGAAGCTGTGCGACCTTGTCTACAACATGGGCTCTCAAGGTTTTTTGGTTAAACCGTGTCGCATTTTCATGGTTTTGTATGTGGTTTTGAAGCGGATGAATCATACTAGCGCTGTTGCTTGTTTCCATTGGCGGCAGTTAAGTTGGATCACGAACCAGGAGGGAGATTCTCGTGCAAGTTTGATGTTGTCACATTCAAACCAATATCAGAATTGCCGCAGAATCAGTTGGCTGAGGTCACACGAATCCACTGACATGGTGGCGATTTTGTAGAGCAACTAACCTGGAAAATGTGATCGGAAATTCCCATTTCAGAAACACATTCAATAGCTTGTTCGGCGGTATTTCTAAGGCAGATTTTGCTCATCTGCTTTACCTAGAGGGAGATAATTATTCATGCTCTCACCAATGCAATTGTTGCTTTGTTTTGTAATCGTGGACTCTGACTTTTGTTCAAAGATTTCAACCTTTGTCTTCCAGTTCTTCGATATTTTATTTATTTTATTTTTGATGTATTCGAACTGAGAACTATCTTTGACAAGAGTTGACTGCATCTGCTTTTGAGGGTTTGATCCTCAATAATGGTTGGAGTAAGTTGTTCAACAGCACAAGATGTTTTTAGAGCAGCTCAACGTACTTAAATCGGCTCCTATGTATCCAAAAATGATTGGTAGTGAGGTGTTAACTATTAGTCACATCATTTTCTACCCTCTTTATTTTATTATTTTTGATTTATTTAAAAACCCATAAGAGCTGGAGCATTCTTAAATCTACTGTAATTTTAATTTAATTTAATTTAATTCATTCTTTATCTTCTCATTCATTCATGTTTAAAATGCTTTTTAGTTTTTTTTAACCTATATCTCACTTAAAATGACTTTTTGTTACTCAACTAATTACTCTATTGTCATTTGAATTGAATTATATATATATATATATATATATATATTTTCCAGAACAATGTCTGTTCGCAACGGCAAAGCAAATCTATATAAATAATAGAGTATCACATAAAAGGTCATCCTAGATATTGAAACAGTTCCTACAACAAAAAACAAAAACAAACAAAAAAATAATCAAACAACCATTTCTACCATACAATTAGAACAAAATAACATATTTGTTTCCCTCACACCGTATATGGAACAAAATATCAGTTTGACAGATTCAAAATTACCAACTCAATGTAATGATTTTTGTTGATTTTAAATAAAACAAACGAGAACAGAACTTTCTTTGAGGACAGCTGGGTGTACAGAGGGTACACAGGCCAAGCTAGTGTACATATATATATATATTAGAATGACAATATTGTATAATACATGTATGTAAACAGTTGATTTCAATCTATAAATGCTCATCTAGTTTCAACTAACTATAAAATATTCACACAAACATTTAAATAAATCAATACCAACAACGTTCTTATTGATGAACAACCTGTATTGAGCGTGAACTTTAATCACCAATCACCAAAACTCCGGAAAATCTCAAACATGAATCATTTAATTACATGCAAAAAAAGAAAGAAAAAAAAAGAAAGAAAGAAAAAAACCATGTACAAAAACTATATATAAAACCAAATGAACAAATTTTCAAAAACACGAACCTATTGAGCTGCGCTAGACATGAAACCAACTACATAAGCACATCACACCAGATGCAGAGTTGTTGTTGTGTTTCTGTTCTGAACGCAAACCTAAACGAAACTTCGCACTTGACAAAGCATGATGATGTTCAGAATGAAAACAATTAGTATAAAGAACCACATCAACAACAACAACAAGATGTTCAATTGGTAGCTCCAGTTAGATGAAACCAGCAAACTCATTAAATTTTGGGAAGCGGAAGTGAGTTATCAGAGTTCTAGATTACCATGAAGAATCTTCTAATGAGTGGCCTCCGATGTTGACGATGACCTCATCGATAATAGTTCGACATCGATTCCCACTGATCAAATCATGAAACAGTTCTGATCTCGTGCATGTGGGTGGCAGGTATTGGTACTAGATCAGCCCCGTCCGTTGGTTGGGTTTGTGCAGAAACGCACCACTGTGAAATCTGTCGAACCTTTTTATTTTTATTTTTTTTAATATCATTCCAGTGAGGAATCATTCCAGTCAGTTCTGTTCCTCGTGGGCCTGATCTTCTGGCAAAAGGCAACCAGTTAAGGCCACTTAGTTAACATATCTGAAGATCTGGACTTGTGTTGTGCAGGCGGAGTTCTTGTGTTACCATAACCACCATGTGTTGTGGATTACTCGAGATACAGAATAGTTTCTTCTCCTCTTCAAAGAAACAGCTATCTGTGCGCTGCACATAGTTTTTCCTCCATGGGCTCCGAGGATCGTGTCGAAATGGAGGCCGAAGACCTTGTTCTTCATGTGGTGATTATCACTGTGCCATGTCCTGGACACCTCATTCCCGCTTCGCAGATGGCCAAGCACCTGCTCTCCCTTGGCATGAAAGTCTCGTGCTTCAACACGGGAATAAATTATCCAAGTGTAGAACGCCATTTTGAAGAAAAGTTCGGAGAGGTGAAGATAGTTTTTAGGCCCTTGCGTAAGGAAAATGAGTTTGTTCCCCCAGGAAAGCGCCTTGAAGAACACCTCGATTGGATACAACACCTCAACGATGAAGCCATGGCAGAGCGCTTAGCGGAAGCTCTGAGAAATCTGACGCCGCCTCCAGCATGTATCATCTCAGATATGTTGGTAGGGTGGTCACAGGACGTTGCCAACGCATTCCACATTCCGCGTTTTCTCTTGTACACCATGCCGGCGAATGCGCTGTTGTACATGATCACGGTAATGTGCTCCCACTTCTCCTCCCTTGGCAGATTTATAGGGCTTTTTTGTTGTGCACGACGCCATTTCGAATACAAAATTTCCACGGCAATGTTCACGTAGATTTGTGTTGTAAACATCTTGTTTGCAGAGCTCAACATCACTTGTATCACCTGCAGTGGCACCCAAACGTCCTCCAGACATTTGGAAAAGCATGGTGGACCCGACGTCTAGCATCAACGACTACTTGCATCGAAATGCTAGACGCTTCTGCGAGGCTGCTATGATACTCGTCAACACTGTCGAAGATCTCGAAGCAGGATTGCTCGACCTGATGCGCACCGAGCTCATCGGCAAACCAAATGTAAAGGTCAGTCTGGATTGGATAGCAACCCAACGGCCTATCTCATGCTTTTTTAATTGCAATGCGAGTTCGCTATGCAAGTCTTACCTGCAGGAATTCACAATATGGACATGTTCTTGTCGTTGTGCGCTCAGCTTGAGAAGCTCCTTCCAATCGGCCCATTGATAAGGAGCTACGGCGGTGAAATCTGCAGTGACAATTCGGTATCACACAACCAAGAGGACACATCTTGTGCAGAGATATTCCGTTGGCTGGATACACAGGAAGACTCATCAGTGCTGTACGTGTCCTTTGGTACTCTTGTTACTGTGAATGAGAGCCAAGCTCACGAACTGGCACATGGGCTGGAGCAATCTGGAACACCTTTCTTGTGGGTTTACCGACCCCCAGAAGTTTGCCAAGTTTTGCCCATGGATGCATCGGTACAAGACTCTCTCCTCGATGGCCTCCCCACAGGTGAAATATAACACCACCACTTCTTTTTTGTGCATGCCATGTTTCCGCCGATCGTCTCGAGGTATCTCTCCACCATAACTGATGTCAAGGATATCCATGAAGCTGTCGCTTTGGAAGTAAATTTGTAGCTTGGATCATGTATTTTAAGGTTTTATGGAGCGCATCGAAGGGCGGGGTCGATTGATAACCCAATGGGCACCGCAACAACTTATTTTATCACACAGGTCTGTGGGCGGATTCATGTCACATTGCGGATGGAACTCCACTTTAGAGGCGCTCTGGGCAGGGAAACCGATAGTTGCATGGCCTTGTGCTATCGACCAAGAACTAACTGCAAGGTTCTACTCTTCACTTCAAAACACTGATAAATCAAACCCAGTTTCTATGCACTTCCGGTTTGTGCGGATTCTCTACCAAGAGTTGAGTTCCCATGTTTTTATCAATCTTCGTATGTTGCAGGTACTTGGTCGACGATATAAAATTGGCAGTAGAAGTACACAAGAACGACGATGGCTTGGTGGAGAGTGCAGAAGTAGCAAGGGCGATATCTCTGCTAATGGACGAAAACACAGGCAGTGGTATCAGAAGCTGGTTTGTGAAAATGCAACAACTTGCACACAAAGCGATAGGGGAAGGAGGATCCTCCAAAACCAACCTGAAAACACTCGTAGATCGTCTGAAGTCCCACCTCAAAACTCTCCCTTGAAGAATGCACACTCAAGTTTCTCCATTGCTGCACTTTCACTCTCCATTCCAAATCCAAATTCTATCTGTTTCGTAGCGAAGGTGAGACCTATACATGCAATGTGTCTCACTAGCTGCTGCGCTTTGTGAGTATTAGTCCACATGGCTTCTGATGTGAGTAGTTTTTGCCTGATGAAATTGTATCTATTAAATGAACTTAAAGAAATGTTGCAACAAATTTTCTTAAAAATTAGATGTATTTTTATTGTTGATACATCCATACACACTACACATTACATATTTGTGTATGTATTTTACATTAATGAAAATGAGTGATAATAAGATGTAAATAAGTAATCATAACATATACTCATTGTATATACATGCATGTAAATGTAAAACTTAAAATCACATAAAATTTATTATTAATAATTTATTTGGTTACATTTATTCATTAAAAAATTTGAGGCAATTAACATACCTTTGAAAGAAAACCACTTTACAATTATTTTACTGTTCAAAACCAAAATCACAACAGAAATTTTGTTTTAAGAATTGATTTTTTATGTATCATTTTATTGTTTTAGAATCTTGTTATTATAATCAAGTACGGATATATTTTATGGAAATTTTTTTAAAAATTTGCATATCATTGTAATGTTTGGTAAATGTGATGCAATATATTTCCAGTTTTAATTTTTTTTAACAATTTATATAATTATAAAAATATAAAATAACCAAAAATTATTAAAATATAATATTCATAGTAAGGGAATTAAAAGCACCTCAGTATGTATTTTGAACTCTTTTATAAAAATTATTTGATAGTATGATTCTGCACAATAAGTCCTATTTAAAAATTACAATTCATTATTTGACAATTTTTTTTATTTTTTTATATTTTAATGTATGTTTTAATCCACATAATATCATCTCAATTATATTATTTAATTTTTATCTTTAAAGTCCCTAATAACATTGAGAATTCATTCAAAAGTTTTTCTAATGTTTCCAACATATTCTTTTATTTGATGGTTTCTTTGAATGGTTTTTAGCTCAAATTAAACATTCTTATGCAATGTACATTTGTTGTTTATAAATTAAGATTACCTCACACTTATACCTTATATTAATAATGCTGTTTTTAATTCCTAAAATTTAATAAAAAAAATCTTTAGCCTTAATTGTGGCATATTTACATCAATCAATTGATCCAAATGCATTTTGAAAACTTAAAGTATATATTAATATTATAGATTAGAAAACAAGTAATTAAGATTATTTAAAAATTAAAATGAAATAGAAAAAATTGATGAAATCAAATTCTAAAGATGCATATAGCTTTAAATATAATATGGAGACTTTGAAGGTGAAAGTGAGATAGTAGAGTAAAGTAGTGGTAGGATGGAATTCTAAAAATAGAAATGGCTTATTTTTTATTAGATTTAGTTGTATTATTTTGAGAATGCTAGCATCATACAATCCTTGTCTTATCAAGTTTTGTAGTCAGTAATGAGATCTTAGTTTTTTAGACCAGTATTCCACTAATCCAAGAACAACAATTTTTTTGGGAGCAATAACCTTCATATCTCTAAAAATCTGAGATTTGGATGGCAAGGACATTAGGCCCTTGTCTAAAGATCAATGCTCGTTTTTAAAAAACTATCTCCAAAGATCCAATAAAAACAAGACCTCTTTTCTTCAAACATTATGATTCAACAACTAGCACTATTGGCTAAATGTCTATGAATCTTAACATCCTAAGCTCCAAGGTTGGAACAATGGATTACAATCAAATTGTAAAACTAATACTTTACAAGTAGTCTTTTTCATCCAAGGAGTTCAACATTAATAAAGCCATTCAGACATAAGCAATACAACTCACTACCATTTGCCACATTCTAAGCAATATGGCAACTAGTATTAAAAAAGTGGTCTTTTAGGATTCTATATCACTTGAAACAAATATACTTATTTATAGGTAATTTTTTTTAAGATGGTATTTTTGTCACTAGAAGGCATGCATACATCTTCTACTTAGTTTTAAATTTTAAAAAATAAAGAAATATCCTTTACATCATAGAATTCTTTTTTTTTTTTTAGAAGAAATAAAGATTTTTATAAGTACTTAGCTTAATTAGTCTAAATTTAGTTTTTAGAATTACGTCAATATTTCTACCACAAGAGTTGTCTATAAATCCTTACCTCATGTATTAGAAAGGTTACGTGTGAAGAAGAATCCTCGTCTTCCATCAATAAAATTATATGACCAAGGGCCAAAATTAAAGTCAAAGATTTTGCCAAGATTCTTAAGAAGATCATTCTTTTTGATCTAGTATTAGATACACCTCAATTCTATAAAGCCCTAATCTTTGGCTATTTCTACCAATGCTTTATGTATAGAAGATTTAGACATTTTTAAAGCAAATATAAACAAAGAACTCATAGCTCCAATATCTCTTGGAAATACAAAGATCTAATATTTGGAGGTCAAATTTTAAGAATACATAATCAAACTAGATCAAATACCAACAATGACAATTCATGACCTTCTTTACATTAGTTCAATTTGAAATCCTAAGGTTTAAAAGAGAGCCATATATAACAACAAGAACTTGAAGAGATATGCAAACCACCTCAATCTCTAAAGACCACTCAACTACAAAAACAACTACCTTTACAAAAAAAGATAATTGATAAGACAATAAGCTAAAGCAATACATCAAATTAGATATACTTATCATTACTACCCAACATCAACAACTTATGCAATATCAACAAAGAATAGTTCATAATATAGAGATAATGTCATGGACATATATATTTACCTTGATAATTATCTAGATAATAAGAATAGGTAGAAATAAATCAAAGTAGATAAATATGATAATATCTTGTGGAAACCTTCTCAAAAGCTTCATAGATGTTGCTTTGCTTTTATACATGTCTATAAGTGATTGGTGGGTTGAAAACTTGGCCAACAAAGATGCCACGTGTTGACATGTTGATCACTTGTAGTACAAGTTGGACATATGGGACACATCTAGGAAACTTGCCTTGCAAATTAGACATATGTCTTGCAAGTTGGATGCATATTAGAGGTCCTATAATATGTCATCACATAATTCTTAGTTAAGTAATATATATATAGAGGGAAGAGTGAGACCTTCTTCACTCTTGTCAATTTCTTTCTTTTTTTTAGTCTAGTTTCAAGAGTCTTATATTTTCTAGTCTTTGGCAATAGCCATTGCAGTTCTTCCTTGAATATACATACTTTCTTCTATTTTGTCACTTTCTTGTTGACACAGATTCCATGAATTTATATATCTTCTTCCAGTTTGTATCCTTGATAGATAAGATGCATACTACTAAAAAGATATAATAATAATAATAAGCATTTAAAAATCTATGGATATAAAGATCAACATATACATCAACCAAGATGATAGATTTTAGTTTGTATGGAAAAAACTTCTCACAAAGGAACAACTCCTATATAAGAATATTCTTTTATATAATTCTAGTAAATATAATTCTAACAAATAGGAATATTAAATTATATCTCTTCTGAAATTATTTTTTTAAGTTCTACCTCTCTTTTCTTTGTTTAACATACAAACTTTTAAACAGAATAATTTTCTAATCTTTTTCTCTACAATTGGAGATTCTTTAATATACTTCTACCACAAAGTATTAGTAGAACTAAATATGATAGAATGATATTTAATAGCTTTCTACTAAGTCTTAATACTCAAGGACTAAACCAAATAGTCAAATATATAAGCCAAAAATCCTCATTTTGAATGAAATATCTATGGCCTTTTCTTTAAAGTTATTATAAATACATATAATATCAAAAATCCATTATAAAAGTAAAAAGATGCAATATAGAAATATATATGTAAGTGAATCAATGATTAAATAAGCCATTATATATACAAATCATATATCTCAAAAGTACCATCTACTTTCAAACTATAGAAATAAAATTGACACTCATACGTATACTTTGATCCATCATTAAGAAACATTGTATTTTTTAGTTATATATGAACACTATGTCCACTCTTAATACTAGTAAAAAATATATTGATATTTCTACTCAACAACAGTCAATATGGCAAGAATCTTTTTTTTTTTTTTTTTTTTTTTTAACTTAAAAAGAAGAAGAGAAATCATCTACAATCCATGAAATCTATAATCTTAGTTGTAAAAATAAGTGCTCAATAGAAAAATATAAATACTACAAATTTGCACAACTTATATTTCCTAAATAATAATAAAAAATTTAATTATAGCATCTTAAAATGTCCAATTTCTAGAACAAGGCATTTAAGAGATTTACAAAGGTATTAAAATTTGCAACCTATTTTGGAAGGTACACCTACAACCAAAGATCATCTCATTGCAAGAACATTATTACAATGTAAATGATTATATATAATATATAAGTCAATTATAATTCAAAGGAGGCAAAAGCTTGTAGAATAATGCTACATACATGATAGATAGATGTTGCTTTACTAGTAAGATGACTATCTCAATTCTATACAAATTGATTCAAAAGTCTTTGCTTTTGAAATCATTATAGAAGCTTAAGTAAATTTTTTTATTTTAAATATCAATAAAAGTCCAATAGGCAATTTCAACACTTTTGTACCAAATACTACTAGCCAATGAGCTCAATTCTAGAATATCTTCTCTCTAGTCCATTTCTTCCAAATTCCAACGATAGTGGTAAGAGATTTCAACATCATCAAATCTTATAACAATCCAAATTTGAATATAAACATATCAAGTATGAAATATTGGATATAAAGCTTCTAAAAAAAATTTTCTCTCATAATTGATATTTCATATATCTTCTAATTAGATCCATATCAAAGAATTGAACAAAAATATTTCACTTGACAATAACAAAATCTAACATCCAATTAGCCTCAAATCAATCAATTCTACAGTAGCCAAAAACTTCACTACCATGGGGGCACCCATAACATATGGCCACAAATATCCTACTTATTTGATCACTTAGCCATTTTTTATTAATCTACTTCAAGTCCATATAATACAAGTAGCAACACCACATCAATAAAGTATTGATACATGATGTAAAAGCCAAAATTTACTTTGCTTATATATGGCAAGATACCTTTTTCAACACTACTTTAGGCATATTAAGCAACAAAATAGCCATGGCTCTTGAAGAAGTGCATTGCATTAGTGGCACAATTTTTTTTTTTTTTTTTTTTT